TTCTCTGTTGATCAGTGGATGTGTGGACAAAGATATTGCATAGAAATAAAACTTTTAATTGTTACAAGAATTGAATTTCAACGCTTCAGGCTTCTGCCATATACTGGTGGAACTTTTACAGTAAAGTTAAAAATTAGAAATTGAAAACATTAAAATCCTAGTTTGTTTCTTTTAACATTTTTGCACAGTCATCCATTTGAGCAATAGAAAACAGTGTCACTCTCCTTGGCTTATAACATGATAAATCCTTGACAGATGTTGAGAGAACACCAATGATGCTTTTAAATAGGGAACTGTAAGCTGGGTGATTTATAAGCTTCAAGCCATCAATCTTTTTTAACTTGGAGATGTTAGCTCGAAGTCTCCTTGGAAATTAGAAACTGGGGATATAAACGATAATAATTATGTATTTTGGTATCCTTTATGACAAGATGCAGATTAATGCAGCAAAGGAAGTAAACGGCATAAGTAGAGTGATAATATGACATATGACTCTTTGCGCACAACTTGTTGTTTTCAAAGGTTGTATGGCGTGGTCGTCTTGGAATGGTATCTGCAAAGAGTGCGGTCAGTACCGGCAAAGAGTCGGTAAGTGACAAGAGGGAGTTTTTTAGAATTTGTGACTCGAAAGTGCAATGGCGGGTTTTCGCCATTGTTTTACAACTTCCAAAACTATACAGCATTTATAAGCTTATATTCAATTGGATTCATTCCTATGTATAGATTGCAATGATAATTAGGCAGGAACCCTCAACAGTTATTGCCAATGGATGTTTTCTCTACTAGAAATAAGATGACTTAATCTCCAACCGTTTATTACTTTTAAAAGATTATCTGGATAAACTTACTTCTAGAATTTAACTGCTCAAGAACTCGGGAATCACGGCCTTTTAAATGTAAGTGGTTTTATGTATGAGGAGAAAGTTAAAGATTCATTTGTTGGTAGAAAATGCTGCACAGATATCCCTGAACTGTCCTTTTATTAACTTCCAAACTTTTTGTAAAATACACTTTGTTTTTACCAACCGAGTTAGTAATGTAGATTGGCCACCGTAAGTAGTTCCCAAGCTGATGTCTCGAGTGTTAGCTCTGACGAAGGGCTAACGGTCGAAACGTCAGCTGAGAAAATCTTTACGGTGGCCAATTTAAATTAAATTAACCCTTAGCTCAAAAGTCAGTCGGTTAACTCTAAATCATCGCCTCAGTTTAAATGCTCTTTAAGCGGCTTCCCTACACCTGAGATACTCTGGACTAAGGATGGGTTGAATCTTGGTAATAACAACATTCTCACGATTAATCAAGTGAGCTATGGAAATCCTGGTCAATAACATGCAGCGCTAAAAAAAGTGAAGGGAAAAATTAATCAGCTTTTCATATTACAGTCACAGGTAAATGTTGACTTACTTTTGTTTCCTTCTGTTGCTCCTCTCATTCTTTAATGTTTTTTCTTTCGAACTGTACTTGTTAATTCTATGCCCAGGTCCTCCTGAAATTAATCCTGAGCTCAAGAATCAGTCGATTGCATATAATTCATCGCTTCCGTTAATTTGCTTTCTGAGCGGTTGCCCTACACCTAAGATACTCTGGACTAAGGATGGGGTGAATCTCGGTAACAACAACACTTACACGATTCGTCAAGCAAGATTTGAAGACTCTGGTCAATACACATGCAGTGCCAAAAACAGCGAAGGGAGCAAAAACTCAACTTTCTGGATCGAAGTGGCGGGAGGTACGGTTCTCATTTGCATATAGAGAGATCTGGAGTCGATAATCAGTTTAAATCTTTACCTCGATGAGAAAAAAAATTCCATTCCCTGGTGCCAAATCAGATTTAAGGGCTTGAAACCACATCAGTTTAAAATTGATTAAAAGTAATGAAAAAAAGAGTTCTCTAACGATGATAACATTTAAAGAGTGAGAACATGACAACTGATGTATAAAATCATGTAAATTAATTTCGTGTTCAGACATATGTAATTAATTTTTGGGCAGTTTAAACCAATTTTTTTAGAGCGTCGAGCAATTTTGACTTTATAGATATCAACACACCATTTTTAGCTCATTCATTCTGGAAGCAATGAATGAGGTATCGTGGTGAAGCAGTTGTTGACGGAAATTGTGGATCTTGAACAGAAGTAGTTTCGCATGCTACCCCTCCCCACTTAGTGAAAGTCAAAATTAATTTCGATGAAGTTCAGAAACTCACGTGGAAAGAATAATTGTATGGTTTAATAAAAATAATAACTCAGATAACATTTCCGAACCTCTAAAAATGCAACTTGAATCGAGAAGCCGAAATGTCCACACCAAGGGGGACCCGTAGTGGGTTCATTTCAACACACTCTGTGACCACGCGAAAGAGCGGAAGAGCATAATCAAATTTTTTCCGAGCTCCAATATTTCGGTCCGGACTTGAGGCTCGCTCGAACAAAAACAGCGATATCTTTCCGGTCAGTACAAAATGCAGACTGTAGACCGCAGACCGGGCAAAAAATGCAGATTAGGAACAAAATGCAGACTGCAGACAAAATGCAGACTGAGAATTTATACTGTTTTTTCGTCTGATACGTGATAACATGTCATCTTACAACTTAACGAGCGTCATGTTTTTCCGCGATCATCTTTCACGATTATTTGCACTATTGTGGAATATTCTTTGCCCGTTTCTTGATCACAGTCATTCTTAGTAAAATTTCAAGCCTTCATACAATCTTCTCACTTTGCGCGCGTGTTGGTTGGTGAGATGTCTGTACAAAATTTCGCAACTAAATAAGAGTAGATGTAGATGTAAATGAGATGTCACCACTGAATATTTAACACGCGCAGTATTCGTGAAACAATGGACAGCTTTGCACGTGGTCCGTACGATTCATCTTTTTAGCCGATGTGTTCTTTTTGTTGACAAAAATGCGGACTGAGACCAAAACTGTTCCTTCCACTTAATATATTTTCAACGTTCAGGGGTGTTCCTACACTGATTTTCACATATGTGCCTTACATTGCTATTGGCTTACATGAGAAACCGGCGAATTTTTATGGGGAAAAGCGTGAATGAGCTGGCTCCCAGAGCCCTTTGATTTGTCACGGCATCTATTATAAAAGTTCGTTTAAAATTTTTGACTTTTTTTTTCTCCCTTTTAAATACCCGTGACTAAGGAGTCATGATTTCATGTATATTTTCAAAAGTGGTAAAAGTGTATGCGTCACAGTTTGTCGAAGCGGCTATCAGTGCGTCATTATCTTAGGGCCTGTTTACATGGAGGTGGGGGACCCCAGGTAGGTGAGGTAACCCACCTGGCTGTGGTCGAAAAATAAAACGCGTTTACATGCAATCTTACAACCCCGGGTGCTGGGGTGAGGTTTCTTGAGGTTGTCGACACTAGCGCTCACAATTGGGGAGTTTGAGCATAGGCGTCCCAGGCTCATGTCTCGAGAAAGACGAAAGATTAATTCTCGGACACGTATCTATTTATTCATGAAAGCGTCACGCATTCTGTTACGCGGCGTGAGGTTACGCGAGCAATCTTTGACTTAATACGTTATCAGGAATAATTTGTTATATGGTCCACTAAATTCCGAAATGTGAACATTTTACACTCCTTGTGTGTCCGTTGCGGTTTCTGGTGTTTTCTGCCATGAGACGGCTAGGAAATGTACAAAGTTTTAAAACATACGTGTTTCGCTTTAGAGCTTTTTGCCATGAAAGCGACCCCGGCTGGGCGGGTTACTCTACCTTGACACGTTTACATGGCAAATTGTCATCCCAGTTGACAGGGTTACCCTACCTGGCAGACCGGGCAACCCGCCTAGGCGGGTCACCCCACCTATCATGTGAACGTGATCAAGATAAAATAAGAAATTATATGGACAGGCGGGTTACCCCACCCCCATGCAAAGAGGCCCTTAGTATTTATTATTGAAGTTAGATAGCGATTTTTGAAGAAACATCCATGTAAACTTTTCATTGAATTGAAATTTGCAAAATCAGCGACCAAAACTTCGAAGAAATATATGAAAATAATCCCGCTATTACGTCGTTATGAACTTTTGCTACAACGGAAAATTTGAGTCATAAAATGACGGTTTGACCACAGGTGGCCCAAGCTCACGTCTCGAGAAGAAGTTAACGATTAATTCATGAAAACGTTACGCGTTGTGTGACTCTGTGTTAAGTTACGAGAGGAACCGTTGAAAATTTGAACACGATATAAGGAATAGTATGGGGAACGAAATAAAGTCGAGTTACAACGATAAATATTTCGAAATATGAACATTTTACACATAAAATCAATAAAACTTACTCACATCCTGTGTGTCCGTTGTAGTTTCTGGCGATTTCTGCCGTGTTAAGCTTGCTTTACCATCACTGTTATTCCTGTTAACAGGAATAACAGTGAATGACCCTGAATGACCCTGAATCGCTTTCTTTGCTGGAGATTTTCGACAGCTTCAGCTTACCAGACACTGAAGTATAAGTGTACATGTGTCATGCTATCTCATGACCTATGACTTAATCGAATTGAAGGGATTTCTAAATTCACCGGAAGTAATGCTGTTTTTCCAGCCCGACTACAAATTTAAGTTTTCTTGCTTCCAAATTTTTCTTTTAAGCATTGGTGGATGTTAAATGGAAATTTCAATACTTTGCTAGATAAGTGTTTTTGACTGAATAATACCCAGTAATTTCTGCTCCCGCTTCCCGCCCTCTCCCGCCCCTGTTCTTCCGGGCTCCCGCCCCCTGTCCCCCTCCACAAGATAGGAAATCTTTTAAGAAAATAAAATAATGTTTTGATGTCACGTTGGGCTGACTAATACCTTTCAATATCAAAAGAGAAGAAAACCAATTGCAAAATAAACTTGGATTAAAATAGGCTCGGCAATAACGTAGTTTGCTTTTATTTTGAAACTAGTTAATTTAGGGTTGGATAAGGGAGGGGGGAGAGGGGGTTAAAATGGACAATGCGACCCTTTGTTTAGCTTGATGATCTTTTTACTTCAAGTCTCTCCCCAGATCATTGAGCCTCCGAAAAGCCAATCTGTTACCGAAGGATACCCTGTAAACCTTAGTTGCGTAGCCTCAGGTATTCCAACACCAACCTTCGTCTGGACTTTTAATAATGGTGACCTGCCATCTGGTATCAATCAAACCGATCACGAAGGAGAATCATTCCTAGTTTCGCCAAGTGTCACGAAAGGGATGAATGGGACTTACAAGTGTACAGCAAAAAACAAAGCAAACACAACCAGTTCCTCAGCAACTCTGCGTGTTTATGGTAAGTTCAGTTATAATGATATGATGATGATGATGATGATGATGATAACGACGACGATGATGACGTTGATAATGACGATGATAATGTTGAAGATGAAGAAGAGAAATAGGGAGAGAAGAAATTAAGACAGAAAAATGAACTTGTAAATCCATGGGCAATAGCGACGGAGAAAAGGAATAGCGCGAAGAGAATTTAGGCAAACTCGGCCCATTTGTAGAGAAGGCAGATCACGCTATCTAACGGTTAAATATTTATCCGGTCAATGTGTGATAGTAAAACGTAAAGCGTTATCCACCAGATAGAGTTTTATTTTGTGGATAGTGTTATCTACCCTTCAAACGACCGGGATCTGACCTTCAAAAAACGGATGATACCAATGCTTAATACTAATGTCCTTGGATCTTTATGATTACAAACGCAAAGAACTGCGTAGATCTGGGTAGGAAAGAAACGCCAAGGAAAAAGGACAGGTGATGGCGCTATAGAGAGTTGATTGATTCGAAATACTTGACGATATGCAATGTACTCCCAAGCTGGAAAAATCTGAAGAAGAGACTTCCGAGACGGAGAGATCCAGAATCTCAGAAGAAAGCAAAAACGAAGCAAGACGCAAAAGCCAAAGTTACATACGACACATAATTGGTATTCTCTATATTTAACAACAAAACTAAAACAGAGGAAACTACTTAATTAAAGCGAATACGCTTCTATCCGTGACCGAAATCGGAGGTCGAATAGCGATTAAGCATTCGAAAGAATTCCCTCGCACCCTCAATTCTCTTAGATCTCTCCACAAAGTTGATTTATGGCTTTTGTAACTCGTAATGTGACTTAGCCAATGAGGATGGAGAATATCACAGAGTCAAGATTTACGGATTTACACGCTGAAAAAGCATGAAATAAAATTTTCTTCCCAAGCTGGTCCAAGAAGCCGAGAGCCAATCAAATGGCGCATATCGCTTTTTTTACGTGTGAGGAACCGCGTATCGTGCTTTTTCACCCGTAAAGCGTGTTATTCTTATTAATCCTTCACTGGCATAGTTTCCGTTCGTAGCATTATAAAAATTGGCTCTCAGGACTGTTTATGAAATCAAATTACTTACAAAAGATGACTGAGGAACCTGTGTGGAGAATTATGCGGAATAGGAAGTATGCAGAGCAAAAAGAGAAAGAGAAAACAGCGAGTCGGTTTGTACCAGAAATCTCATTGGTTCGCTGCGCACACCTGTTCGATTTCCGATACTACCAACTCGTGCGTAAAATACCATACGGACAGACTTTCCATGAAGTATTCTCTATCGATTGAATTGTCATAACAGCTCTTGATTCTAGTTCCGTCTATGATATCCACAATTTTTCCATGGAAATTTAACAGTGTCAGCTTGAGAAAATATTGTAAGTCCACTCGAGAAAATGTAGTAAGTCCACTCTCCTCAGGAAGTGATGGGAAACCACCTAATGAAGTTGTTGTAGTACTTTAGAATTTAGACGGACGATCATCTACTTGAAATCACACCCGCTACCGCAGAGCTGGAAAAGAAAGAAACTTCGTGTTGCATGACTCACTTGTTGTGTCCTTTTGACACAAGGGTGCAGAAAAAAGAACAAGAGAAGATGGAACATTATCAAGACCTTAATTTAGAAGTTCAGCGGAGGATCTGGGGCGGTTGAAAGTGTAACCAGGAAATTTAAAACATAAGGGCTTCAAGCTTGTTCTGAAACTCTTTCGAAACCTCACGAAACTCACAAGGAAACACTTTTTTTTTTCATTTAAAGCAACCTGTTCGAAGCATTCCTATAAAAGATCGCATTTGACTCGTTTCGTTTCCATGTTTTTGTTTGTTTTGTTTTTTTGAGTGTTTATAATATAGTTGTAGTTTTAATGAGACACTAGCATTCTAATGAATCACCCCTTTTTCAACGCAGGAAAAGCCTCTGCTCAAGTTGTTCCAGAGACAAACACAATACTCACCAAAGGTGAAGCCTTCCTATTGACCTGCAAAGTCAACAAAGAAACAATAAGTATAAAGTGGAAAAAAGATGGAGACCCAATAACAGAAAGAGCAATTATAAATACACGATTAGATGAGAAAAAGAGTAAACTGGCTCTTATTAGTGTTGTGGAAGAGGACAGTGGTGAATATTCTTGTGAAGCACGTAACAAGCTAGGAACTGTGGCTCGCTCTGTTGTGACAGTAAATATCAAAGGTAAGTTGTATAAGGAACTACATACAATTTCAGTAATTAACTATGTAAGGTTAATATTGTAAAATACACGTTCGCCTTTTATTTTCCTCACAAACTTTTCCAGTGGTTTTTTGGTCTTCTGGGAACTAGAAATTTGAAATGAATTAAATTTGAAAGAAATTTAAAAAAACTGTTTCAAAACGAATTTGAAACAGTAGCAGTATGTTATACATATTCTATAATTCTTTCACCAATCTTTCTCTTTCTATCTGCCTGTTTTTTGTAAATTAACACATCTGCGTCTGTTTTTCCAAAGGTTATTCCCGGCCACCCAACGCGAGCAATGAACAACGTAAATTGTTGCAACAAAAAAACGAAAAAAAATTAGCTCTCTATCTGGATAGTTGGTGATATTAATTTTTATTTTTAATGCCGACCAGCAAATTACTTTCCTACTAAGCTTCTTCTATTATTATATTTCAGGAAATTCAGAGGCTCCCTCCAGCAGCTCACCTCCCTCCAGCAGCTCACTGGAGTGGTACTACATTGGGGGACCTTTGGCTGCTGTCGTTTTTCTACTGGCGCTCATTTCATACATTAAAAAACGCCGTGAGACAGGTAAAATGTTACCATACGAAAATAAAATGTCTTCATATGGCAGATTGTGGCTTTTAATACGTCAGTGTTTTGGAGCACGAAGGAGCTATTTTAAGCAGGTCATATTCTGCATTTCCAGCACTGATTTTGAAGGTCCCTCTACAGTCCCGGCAAAGCCCATTACTAATCAAATTACAAAAACGTTACAAATTATATGAAACTAATCACCATGATAACCCACCTTATTCCTTCTCCCGTTGTTTGACAACAGAGTCAAATATAAGTTACACGTGGTTTCTGAGTCGCAAGCTTTAACTTAGTTAATGATGTCATTCTTACTCACAACGAAGCGATTTCTTTCATCTCTTTCCACATATCCTTTGATAATAGCCCCACCTGAGGTGCCACCCAGGCTGCAGTAAGTGAATTGTCTTTTTTTTTTAATGCTCACTGTTTGAACGTGTGGTTATTTCCGAAGTTTCTAACTCTTGAATAAGTTTTAGTAGAGTAGTGATAAGTGTCACTGCTGAGCAAATACGTCTTTTTTTTTATCAGTTTGGACCGATTATATTCACCATTAAGAGCACACTGGCCAAAATAAAAGGTTTTTCTTTCGAAGCAGCTGCAGTTTCGAAGAGGTTCTTATCAAATGGCAGTCAAATGTTTCCTAATATTCTTTCTGTTTTGGATTCGTTCGTCCTTCAATTGTTTTAACACCTTGTTTAGTATCTTTTTTTTTGTTACCAGTATGCATGGTTGTGGGTGGCGTACTTTTAAAGAAGAAGAGAAGCTTTGACCCTTCGTCACTCTTTGTTACAGAAACTACAGTTGAAATACACTCGGAGTCTTGTAGACCGATTTAAAATACCACTCGATATATCGATTGTAGACAATACTTCGGATGGTTTTGGTAAGTATTTCATTTCTCGCGTAGGAGGCACGATATTTATATGATGTAAAATGCCGAAAAACACAGTCAGGTTAGGTTATTTTGAGGTTATCTTCTATCTTTTTTCAATTTTTTTTTTCAATAAAATCTTCTCTCTGGGTCGATGCGTCGAAAAAACGGGTTCAGTAAATTAGCGTCCAAATTTCACCTATTTCAATAATTTTTCATTGGCAAGTGATAATTTTCTGAAGCACCCGGAAATGAAATGAAAAAAAAAAAAAATTAAATTGAAGATATAGAGGATATCTTTACCACGTTATGTTAAACCAGATTCAAAGAAGGAAAAGATAGATAGGTAACACAGATAGTTAAAGTCTTGTTTTCATCTGCAATTATTCAGTGAAGGGGAAGATGAAGTTGAGATGGATCAGCTGAACGCAAACACAGATGGATGGGAGATTGCAGTTGACCGCCTGAACTTTCGCGAGCATATTGGCAAAGGGGCATTTGGTTCAGTGTGGCGAGCGCTACTGGGTCGTTCCCGTGGCAGACCTGGAAATCGCACAGTTGCTGCGAAATGCTACCTACGTAAGTACTTTTTCAGATCTTTCTTTCATACAAAGCTTGATTAAACTATCCTTTTTTAATTTTTTGTGTAATTTATCTTAATAAAGAGTATTTCACTTAGAACATGCTTTATTTACGTACCTGATACATAACATGGATAGCATAAAAACTATGCGCTGTTAAAATGATTTTCCAGCTGGCATGTCAAATTGTTAGCGGATGGTTCCCGGGGGACCAGTTGTTAAGTCTTTTGTCATACAACGCTACTAAAATACAACAGAACACGAATATCATTTGGAGTATTAGAAGCTGTGGAGAAAAATTAAAATTTATTGATTAAATTGCATTCAAGTGTATAAAAGCGGAAAATACTACAATACTAAAAATGTCACTCCGTCGTATATTTTGCAAAATTGCTCGCTTATAAACTTTTGATAGGAAATAATATCATGTGACCTCAAAGAAACCTCGAGAGGGTGAGTCTGGCGAAAAACACTCGGAGCCGTTTGCCAGTCTAGTGGTGGTGGTATGATCTTCTTCCGCTGGAAAAGCTGAAAATCACAATGCAATAGAACCTGTATGAAGCGGTCACCTTGTAATAAGCTATCGGTTTTCAAAGTCCCGAAACTTTCCTCCTTTACTTATAGTGCTTTTTATTTCAAGCAGTTGTGGTCACCCTTTACTAAGTCCCAACAGCCTATTTGTAATGTTCCCCACCTTTATCGAACGGTCACTAAAGCGGAAGTAATCAAATAAAATTAAGAATAATCTTTCAAGTAAAATTTAATCCATGTTTATCTCCCGAAATCAATGTTAGGAATATTTTTGAGCGAGGTTGTGTATGTTAAGTGGTCCGTGATGGCATAGAGTGGCATTTTTAAACTTTTATCAATAGTAGCCCTACTCCGAGGAACCTATATTAAACGGTCAACCATTTTCCGTGCGTGACCGCTAAATACAGGTTCGACTGTAACAAGCTTACAGAGTCAAATGAATTTACAATAACTCTGGGAATGCTTACGAATTATTGTAGCTTTTAGTAAGATAAAAGCAAGGATTATGTAATTTATGAACGGTAGGAAACAAGAAGGCGCAAACAGAGCATGTATTTAAAAAAAACTGTCTCAAATATATATTCGACCGACTATTAGGTATTATAACAGATGGAATTTCTAGGCTTAATTGCGTCTCTACTTTTGTAAGTTATCTGTAAACAATTGCACGGTTCAATGGGCTTGCCTAGTTAACAACAATGCTCGAGATGCGCAGCGTTTTCTTAGCAAATAATTTTTTCAACGAGGATGAATCTATTTTGGAAATTTCATGTTCAATACAATTGAACAATACGGCTAACTGACATTTTTGTGGCAAGTATGGATTATATGGAGTTTAGTAAACTAATTTTTTTTTATGTAGACCAAATGCATTATAATTTGCGCTGGTAATATAACACCAAGCATACAACAATTCCAGATGTGGATGTTTACCACATAATTAATTGTCTCTCTTGACATGCAAAGTTTGTTTGTTTATCTAATTTTTGTGTGGTTTCCTAGCAATCTCCGGAGAGAAAGGAAGGAAGGCCCTGCTGAGAGAGATCGAGTTATTAAAACTCTTTGGAAGGGAGGGCCATGAAAATGTTGTTAAGTTCATTGGTTGTGTCACAGTTGGAGGTAATCAGCTATTGTTATGATTATAATCAGCTAATTCACAGCAACGATAGAGACATCTCTGAGTTCAACCACTGGTACAATTACTTCTATCAGTATTCTTAGTCCTTGCTAAGATGGTGTACTAATTCAATGGTTATTTTCAATTTTTTGACTGTTTTAAATGAATTTACTTCGCACTGTATGAGGGGCATTTTACTTGGAAGATGTTAGCTCTAAAATCTACATGCTAATTGTGATAAAAACTTCAACTTACGATGGCAAGTCTTTGTCTATTTATCTGCCATCTCTGTTTTTTCTGTCTGTCTGTCTGTAGATTTCTATCGGCCGTATTTGTCCGTCTATTTTCTATCTGTGTGTTTTCTTCTTTCACTTTCCCTCTCTGTCTCTACTTTGATTCATTACAGATATAACCTAAGGTATAACTAGATAAAGCATGTACAATTCAAACACGTTTTGGAACTTCTGCACTGCTTGCCGTAAAATAATTTTCTTGTTTTTCCCTTTTAGCTCAGCCAATACTTATCATGGAGTACCTGTGGCGAGGTGACTTGCTGGGTTATCTCAGAAAATCCAGGGGGGTTTTCGACCAATATCATCATGGGGTCGGAGGGGTCGACCACTTGACAACATATGACATGGTGCTGTTTGCTAAACAGATCGCACATGGTATGACTTTCCTCGCGTCCAGAGGGGTAAGTGCTCAAACTCTTTCTGGTCAGCATGTGGTCCTGCATGTGATAAAATGGCATGACTTGCAAATCGTCAAAGTAATACTCCATACGGCTAAAAATATCCAGCACATTAGAGTCACTATTTCACAGAGAAATGGTCTGACATTAGCATGATGTTAAACTTTCTACCTATATTTTACTTTTTTATTTTATGTAGTTTATAAAAGTCCCTTTTAGCAGATCATATAATTATTTGTTTTCGATTTCAGATAATTCATCGCGATCTTGCAGCTCGTAACATCCTTCTTGATGAGCATCGTGTCTGCAAGTTGACTGACTTTGGGCTCTCTTATCAGGATTTCAAATACGGCCCAGGAAATGCCAAGAAGGTAATTTTCAGAATTTTTTCATCATTTAGTCAATTGGTTTTGGGGCTGCTGGTATGGAAGATAAAAATGTGAAGAATTAAAATATTACTGTCCTTACAAACCTTTCTTTTCAGTTATACAGTCTTACTGCAAAACATATTTCCCTTTAATGGGAAGCCATTCTAAGCGTATCGAAGCTTTCACAGAAAAAAAAAAAATTGTACCTAGGGAGTGAACACAGGAAATAAGAAAGCCGGAAGAGATATCGTTCTCTGAATAACAAAGATACAAACTCGAAGGGCAAAGTAACACAGGAAATTTAAAGCAAAAGGAGTGTGTGAATTGTTTTCATAGAATTTGTACAAAGGTGTCTACTGCTGTTGACTTTATCGTGAATCCTCACATCACGGTTTTAATCTTATATGCAAATTATTTTAGGAGCTGTATACAAGCCTCTTTAGATTTCAGATGTTTATAATATTTTGGTTACTCATCCAGGGATGTATCCCAATCAAATGGACTGCACCCGAGATTCTCTTTGGACATGTGGAACAGCTGTCAACCAAAAGCGATGTGTACGTACTGTATTGGTTATTATCTACATATATTCCCAGAGTGAATATTTTTTACGATTCTACCTTAACGTAGCGAGGGAAACTAGAATATTCAGTGCTCTATTGATTAGAGAGTCATTAGGAAACGTCAAGCTGAGGAACAGCTGAGGTTACAGCTGTAGTATGAGACTTTATATGAATATTAAGTTTAACGAGCAATATCCAAAATCTGATTAGGACAAGAAAAGACGGATGAAAGGATGAGTGGATAATCAAACTAATAAATATGGCGTTTTCTCTTAGGGAGGTTGCTTATATCTTGATGGCATGTTTTTAAACATCCCAAGTATCTGAGTAATTATTATCTTTCTAACCCAGTTGAGATATATCGTCATCCTTCCATTTCTTTGACAGGTGGTCCTACGGCATCGTCTTGTATGAAATCTTCACTGTCGGTACTTAACTTATTTGTTACTTTATATTCAGGAAATATACCTGCCGAAATTGCACGCATAATTACTAACTGATGAGTGATACCGAGCGGACAAAAGAGCATTGTACAATAGAGAAGTAGAAGCAACACTCAATGTCGCTGATAAATAAAATTATGACGATGCATAGCAACTTGAAATAAAGCTTAAGTTTAAGTAGAACTGAAAGTATTTAGTACATTATTGAAAAACCTTAAATCCATCGCTACACTTAAATTTGTTTTTTTTTTACAGTACTCTTTCATCTGATGTAAAACCGAAATGTATTTCAGCAATTAATTGTCGTTTTGACAGAAGAATCATTTCGATCGCGCTGAGAGGAATGAAAGTGATTACAACAAAAAAAGTGTGCTTTTTTGGCCAACAGAAAAAAACATTATTTTTCCACAGGAGGCATTCCTTACGAAGGATGGTCTCAATCCACGACAATGAAAAAAATCGAAGAAGGTTATCGTCTGCCAAAGCCTGAACATATCGACGACAGTTTGTAAGTGTTGCTTCCTCTGTGTGGAATGTTATATAAGTCAAAAGCAACATCGATTGCTGCTGTGGTCAGGTGTTTTTGATACACTCGCTCTGAATAAGTAGCCTTCCTAAGAAATTAATTTTATCTTGTCACTACAAAAATTAAAATGAAAAGTTGTTGAGTCAAATAAAGAATACGGTGGGTTTTTCATCACAGAATTCGTTTGAGCTGCAATGTAATGAGATAAACTTAGCATTTCAGTTATTTTTGTAACTAGTTGTGGTTTCTCAACTTTGCTACTTGCAATATTAATGCCTATCGCAGAATTACTGTGATCATATGTCCCTGTGTTTTTCTATAGATACGCGGTGATGTTAAACTGCTGGAAATACGAAAGCGCCAGCCGGCCACACTTTGTGAAGCTCTACCAAACAATGGATACATATATTAAAACAAAGGTTTGCCATACAGCGTCTAATTCAGGATATACTTCAGCAATTGAAATTGGTATCCTACCAAGTCAATTGCGAATTTCTTTTCACGTCAATGTGATGTCAAAACGCATTAACTACCCAGCCGCTAACAATTTGTGAATTCAGTTTCATCATGAACCAATGTTACTTTTAAACATATGCAAGTGTGGTTACGTCATGTCAGTCTGGATCATCCTTATTTTCCCTCTGTTGTCTACACACAAGAAAGAACGGAACAGATCTTAAAATAACACTTTTGGAAAACTTTGACAGAAAGGAAGACCTTACCTGACTTTTATTCTTATCAATTCATGCAAGTACTAATGGTTCTTGTCTTTGTGATTGATATCTGATCTGCTCTTTTTTTTCTTTTTAGTGACTCATTTTTGGAATTTCTTTGTTGAATTTTTGAAATTCATTCGTTCAAGATTTTTTAACTCATGCAGTTCCTGATTACCTTCTAATCTTTTTCATAGACATATGTAGATATCTTTGACGATGACAAGTATGATCAGGATAAGTACAACTTTGTCGATGACCGTGGAGCTGTTGCAAACCCAGAAGATGCAGGAGCGGACGAGCTAGGAGCAGCTGCAGCAAATCCCATCGGTGAAGTGGGTGAACTCGGTGCTATGGCACATCCCTTTCTGGTTGCAATGGACGATGGCGCTACAGCTTTCCCTCTCGGAATTAACGTAGGAGACGAAGGAGCACCTGCAACAGATCCCGACCGTGAAGTGGGTGAACACGGTGCTACGGCACATCCCTTTGTGATTGCAATAGACGATGGTGCTACAGCTTTCCCTTTCGCTATTAACGTACCAGAGGAAGGAGCAGCTGCAGCAAATCTCGCCCATGAAGTGGGTAAGCACGGTGCTGCTGCACATCCCTTTGTGGTTGCAATTGACGATGGTGCTACAGCTTTCCCCTTCGCTATTAACTTACAAGACAAAGGGGCAGCTGCAGCAAATCTCGCCCATGAAGTGGGTAAGCACGGTGCCACTGCACATCCCTTTGTGGTTGCAATTGACGATGGTGCTACAGCCTTCCCCTTCGCTATTAACTTACAAGACAAAGAGGCAGCCGCAGGAAATCTCGCCCGTGAAGTGGGTAAGCACGGTGCTACGGCACATCCCTCTATGGTTGGAATTGACGATGGTGCTACAGCTTTCCCTCTCGGAATCAAAGTAGAAGAAGAAGGTTGCGCAGCATACCCTTTTGAGAGTGATAAGAAAGATATGGATGCCCAAGCGTACCCTTTGGAGAGTGATACTTTACCATATCTTAGCGAGAACGAGGAAGAAGATGTTGATGACTCCGAGTGCCCTCTTGCGATTGAGGAAGAAGAAATTGATGACTACGAGTGCCCTCTTGCGATTGAGGAAGAAGAAATTGATCCTTTACCATCCTCCCTGGTGATGGACCAAAACGGTCTAGATGCTTCAGTATGTCCCCTTGTGACTGACGAAGAAAATTCTGATTCTTTAGCATGCCCCCTTATGGGTGAGGAAGAAGATTCCAATAACTCAGCATGCTCCCCTGTAACTGGGGAAGAAGATTTCGAAGCCACAGGAAGCCTTTCTGTTACTGAAAAAGAAGATCCTAACTCTTTAGCACGCTCCGCAAATGAGGTGAACAAACCTGATACCTCACCATTCCCTTGTGTGATGGAGGAAGAAGATCTTGATTCTTTAGAATACAATCCCCTGATCGAAAAAGAAGGCCACAGTGATTCCGTCTTCCCTCCAGATATTCAAATTGATGACGAAGAAGGTGTAACAAGTGAACCTGAAAGTAACGTTGGTTATGAAGGTGCTGTAGCAGTTCAATCTGAAAAGGAGGCAGGAGAAGAAGAACCTGAGACTTGCCAACTAAAGTACACGAAGGATGAACAAGACGATCTTGGAAACTATATGGACGACCAAAGTGATGCTGTAGACCTTCTTGACGTGGAGGCTGGCGTACAAGAGTATGATGGTAATCAACTTACTGCTGCAGATAAAGACGAAACTGGAAGTGACGAAGACGAGGAGTCATCTGAAGTAACTCCTCTTGTGCAGGACTGAGGCTTAATAGCAGAATTGCTGAACCTCCAAGGTTGTAGTCTTATAACACTCTGTGGTAATTTGTAGTTTAGATTTCGAGAACTTCAGCCTCAATATTTCATAGCTTTTGATTTTAAGATGTAGTTTCTATCGTACTTTTACTTTATTAATGCTTTGGTAGTGATGATAACCATTTTCATAGTTTATAAATGGAGGTTAGATGGAATTTTCTTGGAAAAAAAAACTTGTTTATTTACTTCACTTTTGCATTTCTTAGTTTACCGTTTATTCGCTTGGTGCACTTGTCAGTGCTTTGTTGTTGTTATTGACTGTAGGCTGATAGAGACAAAAAAAAAAAAAAGAAAAAGAAATTGCTGTTAAGATAATTTTTATAACTGATCTAGTCAGAAATTTTGCGTAAATTTGTGAGTGTTGTTCCTAGTATAAGTAATATTTCTTAATTTTTTTGTAAGTGCATTGAAGAGAAGAACAATAATGGACATGTTGATCTCTCCCAAGCCACAATGAATATTTACCCTGTTAGGAATAATTAAATTGTTGTAAAGCACTCTCTAAATGCTTCAGTAAACTTATATAAGCTAAACTCGTTTTGTTTACTCCATTCGTTGCAGCAAAATTGCTGGTTCGGATCAGACCACTTTAAGCAAAACAAAGGCATATGCGCATAAAATGTCATTAATAAGAGTAGAGACAAAAGGGAGAAAAAGGGTGGGGCGAGGAAATCTAACTGTACATCTGATGGACACAATAAACTAAAATGACATTTAGGCTCCTTCAAAACACAGTCGAGCCAATATAACAATGGATTCTCATTCAATCATTTTTCAATTTTGTTTTTGCCACGAGCACTTACATATAAAGCTAACATTGCCTAACCTATTACTTCAACTTTCATCGTGGGGAGAACTGTGCTGATTTTTTAGAGAAACAGGCAACTGCGGTTATTTTCTTACTGTTTTTCGTTGTGTTTCTTGACATGAGCAAGGCCTTTGCCAAGATTAACGATGGCATTTCGGTGTGGCTTAGTTCATCATTAATCCATCTGATAGACAACAAGTAGTGCTCATAAATTCTGAGTTCTCTGACCCTCTGGTCTTTGAATCCAGAGTGCCACAAGCGGTTGTTCCATGACTTGTCTTATTCAGAATATATGTAAATGACTTTTCATATGCCCCTCAATCTTGTTTTACTGAATATTATTGGATGATGCTAAACTTCAGATTTCTTTCCCAGTTCAAGGCTGGGCGAAGACAATAATTTTTTCTGAGACGTGGAGTGTCCTTTAAATTAAAGTGAAGTAAAACCACGATCGTCGATAAAAGATCAGTAGGGACTCTGACGTCGATCTACACAATTTTGGTTCATGTCTTTTATTTCGGTATTTGTCTATTTGGCTGTTGAGGATACGTTGTAGGAAGTATTTATCGTTTAGATAGGGTTTTGAAATTTTTGTACACGAAATTAAATTTAAGTATGTTTTTATTTGAACCTCCCGAAAATCTGACATATTTCGACCCACTCAAAATGAATATAAAGAACCCAAAAGTAATCACTAAAACGTAACTTCGCTCATCCTTCTCCATTCACCTCCACGGGATTTGCGCCCAAAAAAGTTGAGACTGTTGCAGGAATAAATTAATCAAAATCATCTTTTTGCATCATTTTATCTCATAGTATTAAAGTATACACTAAAACAAATAGTCATTTAAGTGCGGTGGCAAGAGGTGGGTGTTTACATCTCCGCTTCGCAGCTTGGTAAATATCCACCTCTAGTTAAATCTACCTCGGTGAAGAGTTAAGAAATAATAAACATTTGATAAATTTCCAGTGTAGCGATTAGCATCGCAACTTATCGTGATAATGCAAACATTTCAGAAAAGACAACATTGGAAAATGAATCATTTTTCTATCCATATCTTGTAAAATTAATGTCAATAAAGGAAATATAAATAAATTTGAAAGGTCTTGGCTGACCACCAAACACCAGCACACGCACAACAATAACTAAAGTGTGTCAATAATCATATATTATTACCCTTGGTGTTATCAAAACAAGCAGGCTGACATATCTGTCAACCAAAAACGGTCTATTTATGCGACTAAGAATAAAGTATTTGAAAGCCTGATGACCCAATTTGCCAGTCTCTAGCTAAATACTATAACAGGTACTGATAAGTAAACACGTAATACCTCTTGAAAACCGTCAGGAGACGGATTGTGCCTTTCTGTGTGAGCGTAACCGGTTTTCATGACTAAGCTATTGAGTCATTCATCACGCCCTTAAAACCAAGACTATTGCCAAAATGGCCTAGAGTATATTCTAGAGCTCGTGTGAATGATTTATTCGTGATACATCATTACACATTCCACGCTTTGTTTTTGGAAGCAGATGTGAACTGTTTGTGGAAAAAAAAAATTTTGTTGAACATTGATAAGGGCTGAGACGCGCGCTTGTGTTTTCATCATAAAGTTAAAGTTCAAGAGAACTTAAAGTTTGGCTAAATCTCGTTTTTTATTATTCTCGAATTTACTAATACCAAAATATAAGCCATTTAATTACCAATCAGCCATTTTTGTGGCTTCCTCAATTTGCGAGATGTTTAATTTAGTCTTATTTGATATTCAAGCATGACGCATTTTAAAATAAAGGTTAGACATATTCATCTTGAGGTTTTTCCTCCTGATTGTGGGGAAAAGTCAGCTGAAAGAGGCCAAAAATGCAAAAGAAAGCAGTGGTTCACTGTGACTGTATGTATAGAGAAGTCAGCAATAACTGAGGCGGCGAAAAAGGAAAAGAAAATAACAACCTTACTTGTTTAAAAGCGCCGCCGGCAATAGGACTAAAGGGGCCGCACAAATGTACGGGGTAGACTCTTTTAAGGTTTTATTCGACAAAGTTGCTTCGCACTTCGCTGAAAACGGTTTGTTTAGTCAATATGCGAGTTATTAGATTTACGCATGAGAGAACAGGGCACATCGAGCAAAGACAAGTCCACAATTAACGTTTATTTATTAATTTTGTTTATGCATGGGCGATCTTTAAATAAATATTAGAAACCCGTCCAAAATAGATAGAAAGAATCAATTCTCAAACAATATCTCATTGTATTTCATGGCAAAAAAAAGAGACTAATTGATGTTATGTCTTCCTCTTCTTCTTATTCTCCTTCCTGTAAAGAGAACATGGAAAAGAAAAAGAAATTTGTATTCCTCCTCATATTGCAATAGAGTTTTCGACTCTGTAAGTGCAATTGCTTGTCAGCATTCAATGATTCCTTATTGATTAATATAAAAATTCGCAAGAAATTAATTCTTTAAGGACACGGAAGTTTTTCCAAATAAGTACAGGCGACCTCGAATCACGAACAACAACAAAACGCCCTGGCTGTGTCCTTTACTGCCTTTCTCACTTCTGTGATTTTCCAACAGTAAAGAAAGGGATTCAGAGATGAGTTCAGATAAACTAAAGTTTTCGTAAAGAGCCACAGAGCATGAATTGCTGATCCACTAAGTACTGTATGTCTCAATATCGACACAATTATAAAAGGGGTGTAGCATGCCACTAAAGCCAACTGCACCCAAAATATGCTGGAAACTGTTTTCTGATATTGTTTGATGTTTAGTTGAACTCTTTCGTTTAATCTTTGTTTTGATGAACCTTTTGCTGTCCATGCACGTACTCTTCCCCTTCCTGTACCTTTTACTCCTGCTCCTTCTTCTGTGGCTGTTCTTGTCCCCGTTATTGCGCCTGCTTCATCTTTTCCTGCTCCTATATCTTCTCCTGCATTTGACCGTCCTTCGCCAGGGTTGTCTTCTACTTCAGCCTGGTACCGCTGTAATCTCAGGTGGATCTTTACGTAGCAAAACACGGAAGTAACCAGAGATACCACAACGGCCACAAAAGCAACAATCTCCGAAACCGTTTGACTCCAGACACGAACCAATCCGCATAAAACAGCAATTATCCAGCATAAAAGTATAACAGCTTGAGTTCGCTTTAGTGTCACAACTTGTCTGTATCTCAGCCTCAATAACAGAACAAGAAGTCTGTCAACACTGATGGCTGTTGATATCAGTACAGTCACTCCAAACAAAACATAGTTGGATATACAAACAACCTCTTCGACGTAATACACAATATCTATGTCGGTGTTACCAAGATCAATGTAAAGAAATAAAACAGTCACGAACAGAGGTTGTGAAAAAAGACCCACACAAAGATCGGTAGCGGCTAGACATTCAAACAAGACCTTTGCAGCGGGATGCAAAGAGGACACTTTATAAAATGTTAATAGAAGCAGAGCATTACCAAGAGATGCAATGAAGGAGAGGACAATGTTGAAAGCGAGGAGAAATGCTACTACTCCAATTGGTAATTGTGAAGATAACTGGCTTGTGAGGGTCGCCATTGGCGCTCACGTTCAGACTTGTGGCTCTGTCTTTCCCTCTTTTGGCAGCAAATGAACGTTTATTAGGCGATCCGTATTCGATATAAGAGTATTATTGTTTTGTTGAGAATTTTAGCAGTTTCTATTGGATAAAAAATTCCTCCTGTTGTCTGATTTTCCGATGACAAATGTCACAGCTATAATTAGACTTGTTTTTAACTCTTTCGTGTTTTATTCATATTCTTTGAATTTTCATCATGTTTAGTAAGCAGGTGCCACATTTATTTAACATACTAAATGACGTAGAATCTGTGAATTATTTTTCGCCAATACTTTGTAGAGCTTTCTCAACAAGTCAGCTTTTCTTTTCAGTTCCTGACCCATGTGTGTCTTTGCCCTTCTTAGCTATGCTCGTTTTGTTTTTAAGGTAACATATTTGTGGTTCTTTTATGATAAGCAAGTGCTTTTTAGATGAAAAAATTTGCATAATATACTTATGTTAAGGAACATCGTGGTGAATTCTCATAAATAAAGACATCATTGAGCTACAAACAACAACAAAACGCTCTGATTGTCTTCTTTACTGCAATTCTCACTTCTCTGAAAAATTAATTATTTTGCCACGAGTGTGTTCCCTAAATTCAGAATTCATTAGCCAGAGCCAATTTGCCGGCACGTCAGGATATGTTAGTGAGTAGAGGTACTCTTTAACTTGGCGAAAAACATAAGCGCAAGGCTAAAAAATATTCGTGAAAATCTTAGCTCGATATTACTTTTTCCTCTGAATGAATTCGATTAGGGTTTAAGTTTAAAAGAGAAAACACAACTTTAAAATTAATTAAATTTGCTTTGAAACGAGTTGGGTGTGGTGTGCGGAAAAAAAGTGTTACCACCGCAAATAGCCAGCTGAAAAGAAACAATTACCTCCATGCTTCTTTTGAAGTAAAAATGAAGAAATAAGCCACACGAAATATTGGAAAATCACCGCAGGAAAAGAAAACAAAATGGTATTGACCGAAAACCCTTCAACTCTGTTTTTCTTGAATATAGAAAACCCCCGTCTGCAGTTGAAAGTCTTACATGGCTAGAGAGACTTAAACATCACCACCTGCTCATTTCGGAAACTAGATTCGTTCTTTGGATGTTCAGTGTGGTGTTCAAGAGGAGAGTTCTCAACGCCTTTAGCAATGAAAGAGTGGTAACTGCTATAAAATAACATGGAGAACCTAACGGAAAATACAAACCAAACAAGAATTAATCAATTTCGTTGCTTCACGGGCGTATATGATCGAAGTCTTATTATGTTTGTTTCGTCATTGATCTTATAATTTCCATTGCAGCCATTGTGGGAAATGGTCTCATTCTTTTCCCTCTCTGCAAGATTTCTTCCCTTCATCAACCATCAAAATGTTTGTTCAGTAATCTTGCATGCACTGATATCACTGTTGGACTCAGTTTCCAGCCGTTTCATCTCCCTTACATAATTTCCCAAGAACACTCTGCAATTTGTTACCATGGCTCGCTCATCAACCGAACCTTGGGGGTTATTTTCTGTGGCGTCTCTGTCCTCACACTGACTGCAATAAGTACAGACAGACTTTTAGCTGTTTCACCAAGGTTAAGATATCGACAAGTGGTAACTCTGTGGCGAGTAGTCCTTTGCTGGCTTGTTTGCATTACAAGAGGAATAACAAACCATTCCATCCTTCCTATTTATTTGATAATCAGTAACATGGGTGTAATTTTTTCGATGATAACTTCTACTTTCTGCTACATAGCATTTTACATAAAAAAACTCCACCGTCAAGAAGCTCAACTCCAAGCTTAAACTATCATTCCCAAATTGTGTGATACAAGTACATTTTTCAAAGATAAAAACATAGCAGAATGACGTGCTCATTGTTGAGTTGAATTAACAACTGAAAGATGGAAACTTAAAAGCCGCGCTTCAAAAAATTGCAATATCACTGTCATCATCCGAATCATCATCGCCAGATATCGTGATTTCAATTTCGTCGTCATCATCATCATCGTCATCGTCATCATCATCATTTTCATCATCATCGTCATCGACATCGTCATCTTCCTCGCCACCTTCGTCGGATTCCTAAGAGAAAAAAGGCATGGAGTCGTTATTTTATTGACCTACATCAAACACGTGTTGCACTAAGTGACGTGTTTTTGAAGTATGTTCCAAAAGTAATTTAAAGTTCATCTCTGCTTTAGTGCCAGGGGGCGCTATAGTCCACAACCTAACAAAGTGCAGGATTTTTTATGCAAATAAGGCACGAACCAATCACATAACCGAATCCGCCTCCAAGATGGCGGTTTCACTTCTCTTTGATTGGTCCGTTCCTACGAATATTGATGTGAAAGTCCTTAAGATTCTCATACCTGCTCGTCCTCGTCATCAGCCCTACGCAGCCGCCCGACTTCGTACACCCGGCAAACGCTTTCGTCGGTGCTGGCCTGATTCTAAAAAAGAACGTTACCGAATTTATGATATGAAATAATTCACGTGAACTGTTATGACATGATGACAAGATCTTTACGATGATAGTTTGCAACTTATGCAATCATGAAATGACAAGTAAAGCCAGTCAGATGGTTCGCATTGCCAAAGTTTCTCCCACTTGTCGTGGCATGAGGTAGCTGGGATAACTGCTACCTCCTGAGCTTGCAGTGCAGGCGTTATATTAGGGCGAGTTAACGTTAAGAAGTTCGCGATCGATTATTTCACCGGCCATGTTTGACTTAGAGTTTGAGTGGAAAGTGGAAGGAGGGGGCAGTGAAAGGCGAAAAGACGCTTGCTCGAAGAGGCTGTTAAAAAGCGAAACACCCCATGACTAATTGTGCCTCACCGCATTTTCGGAATTGAGCAAGTAACCGTAACCACAAGAAAAAGAAAAAAAGAAGAAAAAAAAAGCGTAGAGCGGATGAGTGAAACTGTGAGGCAGTTTTTTTTCAGCGCAGAGACAAATGGCTTCGACGTAACCTTTTCCGAGGACACAGATATGAGCTGATATTCGCTGCATCCTATGTTCTTTGAGTGTAGCTTCCGTTAATCCCTTTGACGATGTTTCTTCCATTTGATCGTAAACGGTACTTTGAAGCAGACACACTTCTGCACTCGAAGGTTTGTTTTATAATTAGTTTTAAAGCTAACCAGCATCTGAAATAGAAAGCTTTTCCTAAAAAAACCAGTGGGTAACACTGCCAGCAGATCTTTTCCAGTGACCAGTGTGGAAATTAAGACGTTTTGCTACCCTCGTAATGCGCGAGACACTCCATGTTCTGATGAACACTTGAGAGATTCCCTCAATCTGTCTACAGCCGCTTCCTGCTCTAAAAAATTCGGTTTTTCTAGGCAGCTTCCTCGTGAATGAAATCGGAATTGTCAACTACGCCTTCGAAAGAGTTCACCCTCTTTTGTTTTTCCCGCAAGATAATCATGAAGCAGTTTGGCTAGTGATTGACAAGTAGAGCTAAACCGCACCAATCGGCTCAGGTCTTACGATCAAGATAAATTGAATTTAATGTTTCATAGAAATCACAAGAATCCTCTTACCTCTGAAGAAGTGTCGGAGAAGAGGGAGAAAAAAAGAGAAGAGAGGAAGTTAAGCAGGAGCGGGAGAGGAAGAGGATGGGAATGAAAGAAGAAGGATGGAAGGGAGGAAAACAAAACAAGGCAGAGGTTTCCGATTTTTAAGCTTACCTCAATAACGGCTACAAAGCTGTCAGTTATATCGGTACACAAATCAAATATTGTCTTCTTAACGTCGATTGTAGCTGTTTGAAAGCAATTGAAATTTCCAACATCATTTTCTCACTCATTTCGTAAACGTCAAGATATTTCAAATTAACTGATAACGAGCGCCAAACAAAATTTCTATTAAAATTTGTAGCAAGCCATCCTGCTCACCTATTGGTTGATAATCTGTTGCGTCAAAGGTCCTGAACGAGGTCTCGTACGGTCCAAGGAGCCTGGAAGCTAGCGGTATTTCCAAAGGATCCGAAAGATGTTTTACTATAAAATACGGAAGAACAAATACCGCTCCCTTCAGTCCAGAATTCATTTTTTTTTTCATTTTTTGAGATATCAGAGGCTCTGAGGGACTTTTCCCTGAGGGCCCAGTTATGTAAAGGGCGGATAACGCTATCCGACGGATAGAGTTTTATCTAATGGATAGCGCTATCCAACCTTCGAAAGACTGGAGCCGGAAGTTTTAGGGTTATGAGTGGAATAAAAGAGCTAGAGCTCTTTCACTTTTCCAAACACCGCAAAAGTTGCTAAATAATTGATGAAAAGTTGAAAAATTTCCTTACGCAATTTTGGATGTCTATAAACTGCTAAAAACCTATGGAACCATAATCCCGGGTGAGTATTCTGTGCTCTCAATTTGAATTTGAATATCGAGATGACATATAGATCGCAACTAAAAGCTCACGACTTGGACGCACTAAAACCTCAATGTCGGGTCTGGTTTCCTTCGTGAAAAATTAATAAAGTATTAACAAATTTGAGAAGTGCGTAAACAAGTAAACATGAAATTACCCCCATACATGACGTCACCACTGTTATTGAAGATCACGTGACATTGATCTAGTGAAGGACACGTGTCCAGTAAATGGAAAGAGCGAAGATCCCACTGTTTTTAGCGTCAAGGATTATTGGCAAAGCAAAAGGCACACTGTTTATTTGAAATGAGTTGCTTTGGACATTCTAAGGGGTTAGTGTCACAAGAAACAGTAGTGCTTCGTCAGTTGTGAGGGCGGGGAAATAAGATAGTTTGGTTTTATCGACTAGGTTGATGATGTAAATTGGCCAGCAAATCACCAAGGATATTCAGACATAAGTTTATGCTCAGTGGATCAGTCAGGTGACTGTGTATTGCTTCACGAAAACGCTCAAGATGAGGAAACAATAAACTTTTCTTATGAAATAATAGTCCTTGATATCTATCTCTCTCCCAATTCACTGTCAAAGTAAGAAGAAGGAGGTAGAGTGATTTTTCGAGATCCGTGAAAGGCCGACGTTGTGTTCCGTTATTTTCGTGAATCTGGACTCACTGCTCTACAGTATAGCATTGGCTCGTTCTTTAAAAACAAAAAAAAGGATACAATCTCTGAATTGATGATAATCTCCAGCCCGGAGGGATGAAAAACGCCGCTGACAAAGTTGTTAAACTTGTCAAACTTGTGTATAACCCGTTTGCCTTTGACATCCCATAATACACCGTCGTTCAGTACCAGGTCGTCCGTGGGATTAAAGGAGGCGAGGTTCTTTGAGTAGTTGTTAGTGTTGTTGGAATCGTGCAGAGTTAGTACCCGCTGACCTGTCGCAGTGTCGTAAATCTGATGGTTGAATATAATCTAGTGAATAATATCATCACACTCTAACTGCATTCTAATGCTCGTTGTTATCGAGAAAGAAAAAGGGGGTTTTGGCACAGAAGTACCACAAGCAATAAACGACAAAAAAAGAAAAAAAAAAACCTGAATTAAATACAAAATAAATAAATCTCGAGTTCGGCGCCTTAAAGTTTGACTAATGTTTCAAAAGACGCATTTCAACTGAGTGACGTGAAAGAAAAACCAAAGTTATTTGTGAAGCATATCAAAATAACAAATAAAAAATTATCAAACACAGCCAAGAGGCCTCAGAACAAGTAAACTGAGGCGCAGAGAGCTGATCTTGGCCATGAAGTCTGGGCAAAAAATTCCTCTTGAAAGTCCGTGTATTCGAGACAAAAAACGATCTCGCACAAACTTGGGCGAAATTAGCGATTCTATCATCCTTGCTGTCCCGTGTTCACGCACTAGCAATTTCGCTGATCTATTTTTCCTTTTGTAAATGTCCTAAATGAACAGCGACAATTTGTCAAACTGAGGCTACTCGCGATGTATTTGGAATTGAAAATGCATCACATGTCTTGAACTCACATGCGCAGTAGCGTCGTGTGTGCCAATAATTCTGTCTTCTGATAAATTACTAAACTTTACCCAAGTGTCCTCGCTAAATGGATGTCTGAGCCAAAGAGAAACAAATAAAATTATAAAGTAAATAGCACTTTTTATCAAATAGAGAGATAAATGTAACGACGAAACATTACAGTTCGCCTACTGTCACCGTGTCATTAACACCAATCCGATTATAGGATACGAGCCATGATATACACCTAAATTATTTCCCATTTTGCTTGTTTTGATCTTGAGCGTTGATTGCCGCAGGTGAATTAAGTTGGAATCATTGCTCGTCTCCTGTAATTTATGAAATTAGTTTGTCTAAGTGTCTTCTGTAAAAGTTGTAGCTCTGAAAGAACAATGTAAAACTTTTTTTTGTATTTCAGCGATCCTCAAGTCAATAAAAATTAATGGTAAAACATAGTAAAGTATGTGTCTGTTTTATGTTTCTGCGACAAACATTGTAGTTTGTTAAAGGTGAGATACAAATAAACCAAGCAGAGACACAAACAAGGACGTGCCTATCAGATGCACTAGTGGTACGAATCAAACAGGTTTTCAAGTTCAAAGACTTACTTCATTTCGAAAACATCTCCAAATGACCAAAGAGCACAGGGAGGCAAAGCAGACGAAGATGACGTCAATAAAAGTTCGCGGTCCTAAAAATTGAAGAATGAAGTACAGAAAGACAATTTCAGTGATAAATGAATTCGTGAACACAACCTGAAAGGGTCACATAAGCCTTAGAAAGGTTCATAACGTTGCGAAACGCGCTGCAAAACTGATGAATAAAAAGGGTTGATTGGTTTCAGCGAAAGATATGGAAACTAAACAGTTAACAAGAAGACTGGATTTGACCGAACGTTAAGTAATTTAAAAGCAATAGCGGAGCTGCCTTGTTTGTGTGGATGTGGACCGAAATCCAACATCGAACCTAACTTGTTACCATTTGACTGTTGTTGGGTTGGGGAAGGGAGGGGTGGGTGCGCCAAAAAAAAATTGTTGAAAAACATTAATGAAACTTTCGACTTTGTTCGAAGTAGAAAGAAAGGTACTTTTAACTATATAGGGAGGGAAACTTCCATGTTGTACTCTTACTTTTGAACATTGGCACATGGAAATTGCTCTGTCTGCGCTACAGAGATAAGTCGCCTCTTCCTGAAAAATGTAATTTTTTTAAAAATAAATACGTGAAATACAAATTAACATGAAAACCATGCACTGAGCGGTTTAAATCTATAAAAGAACCAAAAAAAATATATATAGGTGTGATACAGCTGACAACTTAACTTGTCACAATCAACGACTAATTCAAACACATATAGCTATTTCAAGAAAAATTTGGCGTTTGACTTGAAATCAAAAGGTGTAAATTGAGTTTTGTACCTGTCCAGTTATTAAGTTGTATTCCTTCAACTCGCCTATTTGTGTTCCAAGTAAAACAGACTTGCCATCGGGCTGAGGAGAAAAAGTAAAAACTTAGGTACTACGTTTACATGACCTCATAAAAGCCACTACTTTTTTTTAAACTATAGTAAGGATAATTCTTACGGGTAGAAAAAAAAAAAAAAAAAAAAAGGAAACACAAAATCATAATTTCCATTTTACTACGAATCAGCCAAATGTAAACGACACAAACAAGAGGTTCAAACCGTTTGACTTCTAAGAGTGACCAGCGTCTAATTTCTCTTTACAATATCACTCCTTGAATCAAACATTAGGATCACGAGAATAAAGAAAATGATCACCAAATAAGAAGCTCTTGATTTTTAAACAAATTCTCTTTGTCAGCACCTTAGGGATTACATAGAGAACAGTAAGGAGAATATGCATACTGATGTTAGCATGTAAAGGGTCAAGCCCTGAAGATACATTTTTGAAGAGTAAATTTGATGTCTGAAGAAGTATTACGTTTCGTTCATCGTAAAAAAAAAAAAAATTAAAAAATCGGTTTTCAGTTTCAATTGGTTTTAATTTTCTTCACTCTCGGGAACCAGCCTTTATTTAACACTTGGTGGGAGGGGTAGGTAAATTTTTGGGGATCCCACGGTTTTTAGGGGAGAGCGAAGGGGGATCAGTCGTCTCTAACAGAGCTTAGAGGAGCAACTATAGAATTGACTGCCAATGAGGTGGGATCATTACAATACTACAGAACTTTAAGGGGGGATCAGGTGTATTTTATGGTGAAACAAAAAGAATACTCCGATCCCCCGCCCCACTCCCTTGGAGGAAAATTGACAGGCCCCTTCTTAAGTTTACTTCAACTGCTTCGTGTTTGCCAAATTTAGCCAACCAGGATCTTTTCTATCCTTGGGAGTGGTTAGTCCTCGAAATCAGTTATAGATCTTAAAAATCTCATTGAATGTGGTAACAGAGAGACTTACTGCAAAACATGCACATGTAAAGAAGCTGTTTTCTTCAGTATCGCGAATGGCCCTGAGCGGTTTAAATCTAATGGAGAACAACACAGTTAGACACAACCGAGAACTAAACTTAACACAATCAACGACTAATTGTGAAACTTCGTCGGCAAAATGCGTCAGAATTCTGTAGAGGAACATTATCTTGAACATTATCTTGAGCAAACTTGGCATATTCGAATCGTTTCCTTGAGTCCAAACCTCTCTGCTAATAAAACTGAAAATAAAAGACTTCAAAAGGAGATCAACTAGTGTCACGACCTTGCACGTGAAAAACTCCACTTCTTTTAGTCGACGCGAAGACGATAAGCCGGCGCTTTTGAAAAACACGAAAAATCCACTCTGTTCAGAGATTATGGAAACCTCCGTCACCTGTGTTCAGAAATACCGTTTACGTGTGGACAGGGGTCTGAGAATCAGGTTACAATGATTCTGTTAAAAAAACATTAAGAATTTCTAATAAAGCGATACGAAGTACAAATAAGGCATCTCCTACCTTCCGTACACAAACCGTCTGTTTAGTCTGGCGCCGTTAAATCCGCCATGACGCGGAATCACCTTCAGGTGGGAGAACATTTTTCAAGATTGAGTACAGATAAATGTTGAGGGAGACCACTCTATAATAAGAGCTGACACGAGTATCAGAACGACCTATTAAGATGATGAGATAAGTGTTTCCTTTGTCCGCCACCGTGGCAAAATAGTTTTGTTTAAAGCTAAGAACAATAGCAATATACATACTTCTCTTCGCTTTAACCTCGTCGTCATGTTCGATGGTGCGTAATATCTGTACTTTGGTTCAGGGCATTTGTGGGGTCTGACGATAGACAAATCGGAATAAGTTGATTGTTCACAGTTTTGAGTTTTCTTAGACATCTGCAATTGTGGCGTATGATTCGATAAACAGCCCTATTTTAAGTATAGATTTATAAACACTCTGGAATTTTTTAATTGAAAGAGAGGAGATGCATTATGTGCAGTTTTTCAAAAATAATTCTGCAAGATGCCACATTTATAACTCTTGTTATAAATGTTACAAACAGTTTTAAATAAACGGGCAAACACTCGGAGAAACAGTAAAAAAATAAATAAATAAATAAAAAGAAACAAATAAATAACAAACAGTAAGGGAGTGTGAAAAAAAAACCAAGCAAAACAAGAGAAAGTCTATTTGTCTAGTGACCTAGAAAACCTTGTAGGCAAGAAATAATTCTTACTCACCTACCGGTCTACCAGGAGGAGCTTAGGGTTTCACAAACCTTTTATATAAGTAGCTACCGTTAAAGAGATAGGCGGTGGTGATTACTTAGGGGTCGTACAAAATTCGTAAAAAATCTCAACGAGGTAATTTGGTATTATAAGTCGAGTTGGTCACCACTTCAGTCAACGTTAGCCCTTCGTCATCGCTCTGACGAAGGGCTAACGCTCGAAACGTTAAATTCGGAACTATAAACGGTGGCTAATTTACGTTATCAACTCAGTTTATAATACCAAATTACCTTCTTAAACTCTCCAAACAACAAAGCACCACAGTTCTTTAGAAACTTTCCACCTTTAAAATCTTAACAGGAGGCACTACGATACCATATTTAAGCGAGAGTGGAATGCGCATAAGAAACTCTTAATGAAACTACTGGCAATCCTCCAAACAAGCTGAAATACTTTTTCAGATGTTTTTGGCTCTGGCATACATGACTTACCGTATTAAGGAGAATGGAGGGCCAGCGGACACAGGATTGTTACACTGCGCATGCTGTTCGCGAAGATACCGCGTCACGATCATGTCCAACGTAGGAGGTGACGGTGGGCGTGCAGGGCGAGAAAGATCGGAAGGTAGAAGCCGCTGACCAAAACAAACATGCAGACAAAGAAATTGATCGACGTATCATAAACAATATTGTAACACAAAACATTAATAAAATAATAATATCGTAATAATCAACAAATTATTATCCTTTTCGACAAATAAATTTACACGAGATTAAAAAAAGACTTTTTCCATGAATTTCTTTGTTCTTATGGCAGGGGTGGGATAAGCACACGCCAAAATTATGATCAGCATTCAGATACAGTTATCCTGACCGCTCAATCATCTAAACATTGTTATTACCTTTCCTGTTGGTGTTCCAGGGTCGTTGAATCGGTACCGCGTCAGGGATGGAGTCCCGGGAGTGCTAACACCAGAGGAGGCCGTAGAAAGGCTTGAGGAGTGATTGAATCGAACCTGTGTACAGTGACATGGGACATGACGGTAAGCATACGGTTAGTCTTGTACGAAGAGATACGATCCACATTATGAGCCTGACTGCTTGCCCGCCTGATTCACTTGATCGACCGATCGACTGACCGAACGAGCGAGCTCTAACCTACTGAACGATTTACTGGTTGATTAGCTGATGGACGGACAAGCCGACTGACTGATAAACGAACAGCCGTAGTGACAGACAGACTGACTAACAAACTGACTGACGGGCTAATTGACTGACTGACGGACAGACGCAATGACAGACAGGCTGACTAACAAACTAACTGACTGACGGGCTGATTGACTGACTGACTGACGGACAGACGGAATGACTGACAGACTGATTGTTTGACTAATTGACTGACTGCCTGACAGAGACGGAATAACTGACAGACTGACAAACAAACTAACTGACTGACGGGCTGATTGACTGACAGACTAATAAAGGGGGCAAGTTTCTAAAGAAGCGCTGTGGTGCTGCGTCGGTGGGAGAGAATAACAAAGTAATTCAGTATTACCAACTGAGTTGATAACGTAAATTGGCCACCGTAAAGAGTTTAAAAGCTGACGTTTCTGGCGTTAACCCTACATCAGTCGCTATGACGAAGAGCTAACACTCGAAATGTCAGCTTTACCCTTTATGGTGGCCAATGTACGTTATCAACTCAGTTGATAATACTAAATTGACCGACAGACTGTCTAACGGATGGGCTGATCGACTGACTGACTGGTAGATTGACAAGCTCAATCACTTACTAACGGCTGACTAACTAATGGACTGGTGGACAAAGGAATGGAATGATGAAATGAAGGACAGATGGACTGACTTAATTTGTCGATTCTTTTTCCTGTAAAAGAATTTCACAGAAGAATTTCAGAAAAAAAAGGACAAATTTGGTCATTTTCATCATAACCCGATCACGCAGACTCGTGCCATTATTAAATGACTTTAGAAAATGCGATCGCTGTTACGAGATGATTGTATTTTCCTCATGAATCAAGGGACCTTGTGATCACAGAATACACTTAACAACGACAACATGCACCACATACTTTCCTATTAGTAGGCGTGTAAAGCAGATTTGATTCAGGTTTTGGGTCAGGTAGATTGGCTTCTCTCCGTAAAACCTCTGCAGTCTCATGAAGTCCTAGTCCAAAACAACCACACCTTTGATTAACAAATGAGCCAAACACCCTCAAGACTAGAACAAATTTAATTCGAGTGTCCAAAGTAATCTGGGACGCTTCGCCTTTGCTCTGCTAAGGGCTGTAATTGATCTAGACAACTCACGCCACCTTCTTAACCAATCAGATTCAAAACTAAAACCAGTTGCGATTTTGTCGCCCGCGTTTTCCCGCGCTTCAGAAGGTTGTTTATTTTTACCTTAAATTCTTATTGGCTCCACGTGATATTTTTCTTCGTTCTGATTGGTTGTTTTGATTGCTATACGACACTCAAAATAAGAAGCAGAGACTTAACTACAAAGAGGCCTTACAACAAAGATTATTCCTACTAAATTATAGAAATAATCCAGCTCTGCATAATTGTTGGACTGTCAGATGACTTGGGACTTTCGTTTCTAAATTTCAAGAGTGTGTTATGAAGCGGGGTGTGATCTAAAAATAGGTTTAAAGGGAAATTCTTCAGTTTGTGATTCCGCCCCTTGACCTGATTTTCTCTTAATGCTCCTCGACGCTCCACAACAAACCTTGGGTTGTGAGGTGACTGTGAACCAGTTGTAAAAGCTCTTTTGCCGGATATGAAATATGAGTCTGCGCAACAACATCAGCCTAAGAAAGTAAAGGCTGATATTTAGTTATTGGGCTGTACAGGGTTTGAAAGTGTCCTACTTAAGAGAACATCGAAATAAGTAAGAAAACCGACCCCACAGAAGCTATTGGGTAAGAGAAGTAAAAGGACAATTCAAACTCTAAAACTGTTAAATTTACATATGATTTCTTACTGGGCTGTTCTAATAATGCTCTAGAAAGCATTAATTTCTTAATTTCCTCTTAACTTAAAAGTATTTAGATGAAACCCGATAGTGTGACCATCTTACCTACGATCAAATGTTTTCTTTTGGGAGGGGATGGCAGGGAAACTGAGGATGTCCCTCCTCCCCTCCTCTGAAAAACAGAGAAAGCCTGAAGGCAGTCTCGATGACCATCCATTTTTAAACAAGAAATACAAAGAAGTAGATTCTGATAAATTCTTCAAATCAAAATCATCGATTGTTCATTATTTAAGCAAAACTTTAATAATCGAAATTAGACTTTACCGTACGTTTGCCGTTCAAACAAAAGTTAATGAGCTGTAAACTGTCGAGTAAAGACGCTGTTGAAGGTCTCCGCCCTCCCCTGTGTGAGACGATAGGTTGTGTCAATTACAAGTTCATACCTTGTTTATTCTAGACAGGGACGGGACTGCAGAGGACGTAGCCAGGGATTTACCAGTGACTCTTTCAAGTAGCTCGGCAGCATATTTGCAGAAAAGGGCGTGGTCAGAAGCATTATCCTCAATGATCGGCTCTCGCATCAAAACTGTCAACAAATTCAAGACAAACGACATTGAGTCAACGTAAACGAAAGAAATGAAATGATGTTTTAGAAGGTCAACATGGCTGTAAATACGTCAAGATAGCTGGATATTTGGCGAGCTCTTTTTGGCGCTTTTGTGAACTGAGACGAAGAGTCTTGAACTAGACAAAAGCTCTTGACTGATTAAGTTGTTCAATGAAGGAATTACTACATAGCAAAATTATTCTGCTTATATAAGAATCAAGAATGACTTGTTTTCTTTTAAGCGCTGGAAAAGAAAGCCATCTGTGATGGTGAGTGCTCGTTTTACATTTGAAAAAGTGTTTTGACCGTCCTCTATCGCTTTTTACGACTTCTTTACCGACGTTGGCTAAACATTACAAACTTTGTAAGTCTTCGCAACGCAACCTTTTATCTTGCGCGAGATAAAAGCGTGATACCCCAAGCGGATAAGAGCTCAGGTATCTATCAGAACACAGGACTCGCTTCATCTTGCCCACGGGCACGCCCAGTTGTATAATATACATGGTTGGACAAGTGTGAAGAAAGCACTGCGCAGTGCAATACTCACTTTGTAACTGGCCGCTGTTAAACAGCTGTAGTTTTCCAATGACTTGTCTAATCTTGTCGCTCCTCGATAAACCACATAACGCTTTACAAGCCAGAGCACGAATACAATCTGCATCAACCAATGGCGTTTTCACCATCAGTAAGGAGAGCAGAACCTTGATGCCATTACTGGCCCTGACACATCCCCACATCTTGGATAAGATGTCGTCGCTGCTTTTGAAAGCCGGCTTGGATTTCGACTGAAATTTTGCAACAGCTCCGCTAATCTGCAAACAATGAAGACAAAAGTAATCATCGCGGTGACGCCAAACACTACTTAAGCAGTTGAAAAAAACACTGAAAAAAATCAGGCCTGTACCGTAGTTAAACGGAAAACTGGAAAAAAGGAACAACGCACTCGGCCTGGTAGCTTAACACCTTAAACACTAAGTACTTTTAAATTCAACAAATATTCCTAACGTTTGAGTAGCAATTCTTTCATGAACTTTAATCAGCCTAAGACTGGGAGGAGAGCAGCGTTGAGGGAGGGGAGGGAGGGGGTTGAGGAACCGTGGAGAGGTAAACAAAGATTATTGTGTTGACTCCGATATTGACTCAACTTTACGCGACTTTATCATTACCAAGTCAGTTACAAAATGAAGAATTTTCGCCTGCTCTACCAACAAACTACGCCTGTAACTCTGTTTCCTATTTGTTTTTGCTTGTTTGTTTTTGTTGTTGTTGTTTTTTTTCTGTCGCGAGAAAACTTTGAGAAACTCATGCGGGAGGGAGGGAACTCAATCGAAACGCGCACAAACCACTTACCCTGACTCGAGGACCGCACACACAGTTACAAATGACGTGGAGAGCGGCTTTCTGTACCTCAGAGTCATTGAGTAAACTCCCTTCAGCGCAACGCAGCAGAAGCCTAGAAAAAAAGATTTCTTAATATGACTGAATAGAGAGTATATAAGCCTTCTGGCCTCTTGCTATCAAATTTTTTCACGGGTCATTAAAATAAAGTGACTAAGAACATTTCTACTCCTTGTGATGATCACGAAGGACTTTTGATGGGAATTTTTCGAGTCTTCACGTCTAAATTAATTCTCTTCCCGTAGATCATACCTCATTCCTTTCTGTTGTTCTCCTGACGGAAGTTGCACTTCTTCACACAGCGCCATCTGAGCCTTAGGACCGACTGTCAACACAAACAGCATCTCTAAAGCAAGGCGGGTCACGTCGGCTGCTAATCGGATGGCGTCCGCTCTTGAATGGAGCAAAGAAAAATTGTAATATCTTAAGTCGACAATACTAAAAAGCTTCTTGTACCTTTTTGAAGGCAGTAGAAAATCATTACATCTAATGTTCTGCTAAATGAATTATCAAAAACTTCAATTCCTTGAGTTGAAACGATTTCCGAGAATTTCAAAGTCCAGTAACACAGTCCTACAAGCAGACCTTTCCTGATTTTCCTGGACTCGTACAAACTCTGGAGAAATGATAGCAAAACCAATGACTTACCTATTACTGGTCACTCCCCAGTCTGACGATAGGGAGATCAACTGAAGCAGCAGGGTGAAGCCTTGAAGTCTGTTCATCATCTTTAGGAGAAAAAGAAAACATGTTACATTATAGCGAACTTGAGCAGTCAGGAAGGCAACGTCGAGGAAGACGTCGACTGAAATGATGAATTTTTACTTTTGGTTAGAATTTCGCGAGTGGCTGGATGTGTTTATCGTCTCTTACGGGGCCACAACTTCAGCATAACATATGTAAGCAGGGTTGAGTTCCAAATGTAAGTTTTACTAATTTGCAATCGGTGTTTCCGTTCTCAGACCACGCAACGTTGGGTGATTTCACGTTTTTGTTTTGCAGAGAGCATCTACGGAGATGTACAAAGTTCTAAAACGCACGTGCTAAGCAATTAGATCTTTTGTTTGGCCGCGTCCTCGTTTCAGGCCGTTGTGGTTTGCCACAAATCCCTAATAAAAACGAGAAAACGTGTGCATTCTGACACTGTAAAGACCTCAGACAGAAGACAGTTTATTCTAGTTATAGGTAAATTGGCAAGGTGTGTCTATGCTTATGAACACTGGTGAATAAAATGAAAAAATAAAAACAAAAACAAAACAAAACAAGAAACGAACAAACACACAAATGAATGAAATTACTTCTCCACTCTATTCCTGAGAGCGAACCGTATATGTAAACTAGGAAACTTATGAATATAATAATTGTAATAACAATTATGATGATGATGACAATAATAATAACAATGATAATAATAATAATAATAATAATAATAATAATAATAATATTAAAACCGAAGAGAATAACGACTAACAACAACAAAGCAATGGAAGTAGGTGTTATGGTGTCCATCGAGGGGTTTCATAAGCTACGAGTTTGAAGCTGGACATTGTATCATGTCCCTGTGAAAAATACTATAACACTCTACATAGGAGTTCAATGCTACTATGTGCCCTCCACTTAATAAACCAAGATACGCCTCTGCGAAATAATCAACCACGACCATGTGACGCTTTTTTTTTCTTTTGCGTTATTTCTCAGTTATTACCTCAACAGGCTCCCAACGCAGTGTTGTTGGAGCATACTCTAACATCAACTGACAGTTCTCCATTACACTGCTGTGAGACAGGGATGCAGCCTGAAAGAGAACAGTTGCTCATCAATATCAGTTGAACAAGATGATGCTTGGCTACCAAAGACAAAACTGCGGAAAAAACAAACAAACAAACAAAACCAAGCAGACAGACAAACAGACAAAAACAGTATCTTCTGCGTAAATATTTAAGACGATTTGGAGTGTTTGTTAAGCGAGGTTCATAAACTTTCGTGGTAAAAGTAGAAAATTTACAAAGATGGGATTAAATGTTAAGCAGAATACTGCCAAAAACCTTTGCCAGGTTTAAGTTAACTTCCAACCTCTCTGAACTAAAACAGCCGAGCAGGCGTAGTCCTTTTACATAACATAACATACTGAATTTGCCCATCTAAAGATATACAAATTTTCTCCTAGAATTAGGGAGTAGGCTTGGAAATTCACCTTATACGCTGGAACTGGAACTGGTGGTGTTCCACCCTCGTTCCTTGCAATAGATCTCCTCAGCGCATCTGCCCTGATGTGAAGATGGGCATCAAAATATCTCCGTAGAGCCATGCAAGTGTGTTTTGCTGTCTGCCGGCTGCCAAACACCTCATCATCACTCAGTAGTTCTGCCTCGTCGGGACGAAGGATTGAAAGCGTACTTAGCTGCCACAACAAGGTTAAACAAAAAAAGATTCTTTTAGAATGGTTTGCAGCCAGTAATATTCGTTGTTTTCAAGATGGAAACGCAAGTGGAATAGGACCGTAAAATGGCTTGAAAAAATTTAAACGAGACTGCGCAGTCTGGAAAATGCAAACACGGCGTGCACTAAAAATACTTGTTAATTCATAGCGGTCGGCATGTCTCTAAACTACGTTTCAAAAGTAACAAACCGTGATTTATTGAAGTGGAGGTGGCTGGCTTGTGGTGGATATTCACTGAGTCTCGAAGCCGCGAGGTGAATATCCACCGCCAGCCATCGGCACTGAGGTGAATAGTTGTTTTAGTATATATTTAAACAGTAAGATAACATAGCAAAAAGGGATGATTTTAACTCATTTATTCCCGCGATGATTGCAATATTTCCGTGCGCAAATCACGCGCGAGTTTCTTGGAGGTGAACAGTAACGGATATTCGGAGTTTGAGTAGCCAATCAGAATGGGCCTTCAACGTTATCCACTATTTTATTAATTAAATTATCATTATTTACCTTAGTCGTTCTTTTATTTCTTTACGTATTGCAAAATATTTCGAATGAGTGTTATTAAGAGAAATTGCTACTCCTACGAGAACGGAAAGGTCACAGAACAAATAGACCTCGTGGTGTGATCCTACTCCAGGCGATTGAACTACACGATCCACGTTTCTCTGGGGTCCAAACCGTGTCGTGTAATTAATAAATAAAACTGATTAATTACCTGGTTCACAAGCTTCCGCAGACCATCATTACTGTCGAACAATTCCAGCACTGCTCGAAATGAACACGTGAGCGAGAAAAAGAGAGTTGCGTGACACCTGCCAGAGTCGTGAGAACATTCTAGAAGCCACAATGCATACTTGACCAGGTCACTCAGCACAGGGTTTGGTAGGAGGGACACCTGAAACAAGTTATTTGAAACAGTTACGGAGGTTCCGTCGACATATTCTGTTTGTTAATTTCATAATCCTCTGGCCCATGTAGAAAAAAGAGCACAAAGAATTTAATTACTCGAAGTTTTTTTTTGTGTGGAATTAGGAGTAGTTTTGTAAGATAACATTTTTTGAGTGATTATTTCTATGTTTCTTATCTTCATCTTTTTCTATCTCCTCGTCTGCAATTCTCTTTATCCATTTCACCAGTTTTTCTTTAATTCCTTTTTTATCTCTCTACCTGTGGGTTATATGCTAGACATAAATAAGCTTTTTTTTGGGGGGGGGGAGGGGGAGGTGGGGAGGGAGATTCATGAAAAATAAGCAGATATGTGTTATTCAATTCATTGTTGTTTCATGTTTAACGGAATGATACTCGTTACCTCTTTCTTTTAGAAAATACTGGTCTGCTCATAACTCACCGATCATTGGTAAGTTAAATCTGCACTAAATAATGCATTTCTTACAACTACAAATCAGAAAACTTCAAACATTTTTTTAAATTGGAAAAATGTCTTACCCTCTCCATGGCGTCCTCATTGTAAGCGAGATAATACAGACACATAGAACATCCTGTAGCAGCCACAGATGGGCGTGGCACTTCTAGTAACCGCTGGACACCGTTATGAGTCACAAATTCTGTGGCAAACTTTTTATGACAAAGAAGGGATGCCAAATACTAAAGACAATAAAAGGAAATAGCTTTTAAATTCTGAGGCTTTTTTTGTCAGATCTCAGTCGGTACAATGCATTATTGTCTTAACCTTTAACTTCCACGAGTGACCAAGACAGAATTTCTCCTTACAATATCAATACAATATCAACCAGATAAGTAATGAGAATAAAGAAAATTATCAATTCGGGCAGGATTAGCTGATCCAATACTAAATTATCCGAACTAACATTATAAGAATTCTATGGTTGACAGTAAGGAGAATTACAAATTTGATCTGGGAGTTGAAGAGTTAAAGTAGTGTTTTTCAAGAGAGATGAATGTGGTAGAGTGTCTAAAGGTTCGTTTACACAAAAGACAGAATTGGAGTCGAATTGTTCATTAGTTGTAGGAGTGCCAGCGACCCAGAGAAAATCGAGAGTTGGAGTCGTAAGTGGAGCCAAAAGCTTGACGAAATCGGAGTCGGAATATTCCGAACAATTTCTTTTCTTCTGATTCCGCTAAGAACTCCAACGCTTATGATCCAGTGAAAACTCGATTTTCGGAATCACAGCTGAGCTAACCGATGGCTGAAAACTCCAGCAATTTATTTTTCACATACATGTATCATTAGCGAAGGAGTCATAAGTGGAATCAGTATTTTGCTTCTGATTCTATCGGTTTGATTTTCACAGGATCATATCGCTGTACGCTTTTTGTAAGTACACCGGCGAGGGTGAAAACCAACCGTAACTGCATGAAATTCTAGACGTACAACACAAAGCATGACGTTACTGCCTCCTTCCTACCTTGAGGGCTTCAAAGACAAGTTGTAGGTCCACCTGGCCTTTAAATGTAATGTAGTGCATGACAAGATCCAGGGCTTTAGACTCAAACACTGTCGGCAACAGCTGAATTGAAATGTTCAAAGAAAAATGTGTCAAGATAAATCAATGGCCAAGCAATGCTTCAGGCTCAGCTACGACTGTTTTAGTTGCCATAGCAACTGATAAAATTTGGTACGGCTCAAAGAGAACCTCTTCATTCAGAGCTGAGTGCATTAACTTTTGACCAAGGCCAATGCATGTCCCTTCATCCAACAAATATTTCTTGCTCGCGCCAATTAGTTAAAACGCCTCACATGATCAAAAATCCTTGATCCGAGTGCATTATCGTCTGACCGAGACCAATTTATGTCCCTTCATCCAAAAAGAATTTCCTGCTCGCGCACGTTCAGTTAAAGCACATCAGATGATCAAAAATTCTTGATCCGAGTTCTTTATCTTCTGACCAAGGCCAATGTATGTCCCTTCCTCCAAAAAATAATTCTTGCTCGCACACGACTAGTTAAAACGGTCCAAACTCAAATTTTCAAGTTGTGTGACATTTCCAATTTATCCTTGATTCAGAGCCCTTTTCCCACAAGCTTCCCACATACTTCAGTGGAGAGACTCTCTCTGTTCTTCATATATCATTAAATGCTCAAGTGCCTAATTACAGCACATACCTCCTGATATTCCCCCAAGGGAGTCAGATACTGTAGAATTAGTCTCTGCTGCATGCCAAGAGTCAGGGGGGAGAGGGAAAAGGACATAGGGACTATGTGGTACCCTCCCTTAGGTGCACAAATTACATTTCCAGTGGAACGGAAACCCTTGCTTGTTTTAACTAGCAATGGATGTTTTGCTTGTAGACAACTTTTGCCTGAAACAAAAGGAAAATATTTACAAATTTTAAGGAAACTGAGTTAGCTTGTGCAGGGCAAACCTACTTGGCATACTTCCTCCTCCCCCTTATCCCCCCCCCCCCCCCCCTTCAAACAAAGTTTTTGGTGTCAAACTTCCATAGATGATCATTAAACATTTTAGTCCTTGATAACAATCGTTTAACTGATCATTTTATTATCAAAATCTTCCATTTGCTGACAGACAAGCCTCCTCCTTGTGTTTCACACAAAAAGTCCTCTGAAACGACATATGGTTACTGTTTACCAAAATTTGAGTCAGTTTGTTGTTGGAAACTCAAAATCTTTCTTTTTATTTTGGCTGGAAATTTATGCTGAAATATATGATAAGATTAAATATCAAACATTTATCAAAACTTATTTATAAAGGCAAAAGTAGACTGAAAGAACTCTACAAGATCTCAAGGTGTTTTAGGTCTCACATCGTAAGTTTGCATGAAAGCTCCCAGCGTATACCTGGCAATTCACTACAGAATACCCGCTGGAGCTCCTACCGGTGCCAGGGTCTTATTGAAAGCACTGCCTTGGCTGCCAAAGTGAAAACCCAAAGGAGAATAATTGAGCCTTCAAGTTACAAACAAGTCATACCACTCAGTTTGAAAAGACAGTTAAATCAACTTGAAGTTGCTAGGAGATTGAACTCACTAACAGAGGGACAATCAGAGTTACAATACTCAAAAGTGAACTAACCCTTTCCATTGTAGCTATTCACTTCTTCCACTTCTCCATTACACAAACCGGATAATTCGCCATTCTGTGGCACAGTGCATGATGGTCCTGGCTCAGCAAGATTCACTTTCTTTATCTTGTTACTCATGCTGTTACTGTTTTCACTCTTGTTCCTGTTTGTCTTTGCTTTCAGGATAATCCTGTTTGACAGGTCTGTCACAGCAGGCTGTGTAAGGTCTGACAAGTCCTTTAAAATGTGCAGCCGTCGCAGCATAGAGGGAACCTAAACATGTGAAATTCAACATTTAATCCTCAGCTTATAGTTTACAAGAGTTTTTCAAACAAAAAATGCAATGACTGACAATAGACAATTCCTGAGATGTGAAAAGCCAACTTTGCACTCAGACGTTTGAAACACAAATGCTGTTAACCACAAAGCTAAAAACAAAAAACCCTCAGCACCCTAACATCAATACTCATATTCTTCATACTGTTCTCTTGCATTTCTTAAGGTGCTGACAAGGAGAATTTAGATTCTTTAATAGCTGATCATTTCCTTTATTCTTGTAACCTTAGTGGTCACTCTTAAAAATTGCTATATCCAACATATTGACCAGCTCCCTGTTGGCTTGTTAGCTCAGCTGGTAGAGCGCTGCACCGTTATCGCAGAGGTCATGGGTTCAAATCCCATACGGGCCTGAACATTTTTTTCAGGTCTTATTTCAACTACTAGTTCAGTAGTGTTCTTGGCTGTGAGGATCTCTTATACTTATTTCTTCACCACAGTGCAACTATATGAATTTCATATATCTAAAATCAAATTATTGCTATACTGACTTACCAAGGTGGAGTTTTCTTCTCTGAATACTGCAGCAATATCCTGGCTCTCCATGGCAAATGCTAAAAGACCTGTTAATAAATAATAATTATCATTTGAAGTGATACCTGATACTTGAAATTAAAAATAAATTAAAATGCAACTGCAGCAATACACATAAAAAATGAACAAAAAGGAATATTAGAATCCTCAATCAAACCATGACTATCTATATCTTAACTCTTTACACCCTAACATCAGTATGCATATTCTCCATACTGTTCTCTATACATTTCCTAATGCACTGACAAGGAGAATTTGTTTAACAATCAAGAGGTTCTTCAGTTGCTTATCATTTCCTTTGTTCTCGCGATCTTAATGTTTGATTCAGGGGTGATATTGAAAGAAGAAATTAGATGCTAGTCACTCTCAAGGGTTAACCTAATGTAAATAACCTTGGATCACCAAACTAAAACACCCTTCTACTTGCACCCAGTTTATAAAGGTGTAAACAAAATTGAGTAAGTTCAGAAACTCAGAAGCTGTACAGGAATTAGGTAAATCTAATTTTCCCAAGGAGAGCACTTGATGCTAAATATTTAGTCAATTCAATTTTTTTTTTTCCTTTTGTTTTTGGTATGGTGACCAAAATGTTCAAAGCCTGAAGTACTGTGAAAAGTAAGACCAGTAAACTATGCTATAAATACCTGTAGCATATGATCTCAGGGGTTCTGAGGCTTCTCTGGCCCACTTGCATAAACGATTAAGCATTGCTTCCTACATGTACATGATTGACATCAAATTTATTGATAGGAAATATGTAGAGAAAGATGTTTTTTGTCTTTTCACAAGTGTGGGACAAAGAAAAAAAGAAAAGGAAAAGAGATCTTATTTGTTGTGGCTCAGTGGTAGAGCATTGGACCCCAGAATCTGAAGGTATAAGGTTCAATTCAACATGGAGACTCAGAATCTTTTCTTTGTCACACACTTGTGACAAGACAAAAAACATCTTTCTCTATTTCTTTAGTGAGCTTAAACCTTACCATCTCTCTTGTTCTATTTAAGAAATATGTAGTTATGAATTAAGGAACAATGAAAGTGGATCTGAAAAGTTTGCATTTTTTTAAAGTTTTTTTGCACTAAAGTGAGGTGACTGAGAGCAACAAATAAGATCTCTTTTCCTTTTCTGTTTTTCATGATGTAACTACATGAAATTCATGTTTTTTATCTATAATTTGATGAAATAGCAATTGTATGAGTTAATTCTGAGTATTTTTTCTGGAAAGGACAAGGGGTGCCATGCCACAGAAACTGGACACATTGATCTGGATTTTTACATAGAACTCAAGCTGAAGAAAGAAAGTCACATCTTAAGATTACTAAGTTAAACCCTTTAACTCCCAGAAGTGATTAACAGATAACTTCTCCCCATAATATCCATACATTATCCAGCACAAAGGTAATGAGAATACTCAGACTTATCAGGTAGAAGTTGTCATCTTGATTTAACACCAAATTCTCATAACTAATTCACAAGGAAATGTGTTGCAGCTAGAGCAGAGAATTAACAATCAGATCTTAGGAGTTAAAGGATTAAGAATACCTTTCTAAACTTACCATATCCTGAAAAACTGCAGCACTTTCCAGCCCAGGCATGGCATTTAACAACACTCTGGCTGCAGTGCAGTTCAGATTAAACTGTTCCACAGTGCTCATGATATAGGAGTTCACTAGTTTGTCCATAAATTCATCATTTCTGAACAGTGTCTTCAAAAGATGGCCTAATGCACAGTCTGGGTCAGCTCTACCTGAAATGTTCATGATGGAGAAAACAAGAGCTGATTTTATTTTGAATAATTTAATACAATCAAGACCTCTTATTGACTGAGAGCGAGATCTGCACTGTTAAAATTACAGACCAAGTTTTTTTCCCTTGGGACATACATCTGAGCCAAAAAAAAAAAAAAAAGGTTCTGTCACTTAAGAGTATGGACTGAGAAAATGAGGCTCATAAGATTTTTAATAATCAGGGTCCAATAAAAGGAGAAGATTCTAATTAAAGCCAAAATTTAAAATTTTTCAAGCTTTTCAGTGAAATACAACCCACTAAATTGACCAATCATTGTGCATGTACTAACTGAGAAAAAATTTATAATAAAGTAATTAATTTCATTGACAGCCAGGCTATATCAGTTTGACCACATGAGGCCATCACTGTGACATGGACACTTCTCACACCAAGCCTCATCTAAGTTCTAGTGTTTTCTTGTGACTCAAGTAAGTAGATAAGTACAGTGCCTCTTTAACACAGTAAGTCTAGTGAAGATTCCACTGGGAACAAAAAGTAGAACTGACATTGAATAAGAAGCAAGAACAACACTTCTCATTCATGAAAGTTTGAATTACTGCTGTTTGTCATGTGTTATCATTCTTTTTCATGCAGAGTGTGTCTTGGACCTGTTTCATTATTGGCAGGCCTTGGTTCTCTTCAACATGCATATTGTTTCTTATCAGCTTGCTGTTAATGGAAGAGGTTTACACAACAAACACTCTGACAAAGGGCTAATGCTTGAAATGTTTTGAAACTCTTTACGGTGGCCAATTAACATTATCAACTCAGTTAATAAAACCAAATTATCTTGTTAAACTCCACCACTGATGCAGCATCACAGTTTTTTCAAAGAAACTTACCCCCTTTAGGTCTGTAGCTATCCTTCCTAGTATCTGAGAATACCTTACACTACATTACCTAATGTATTTGTAATAGATGTTATAATGTATAAAACACAAATAGTGTGTAATGTGAAAAGGTAGCTTTGCACTTTTACCTGGATGCCAATCATCAAAAGGATCTGGATCTAGTTTATGATATGCCTCATTCTCACGTTCCACAAGCTCTGCTATCCTGCATGAGTGATTTTAAAATGTAAAATACTTTTGAATCTACTTTTTGCCAAATTGTTTGTTCACTTTTTGTAGAGCCCAACATGAACAATGTTACTGATCTTACAGTTCCAGTAAGTAGTCATACACACTGAGTGTGTATCACACAATTATCACGGCCAAGGCTTGAAACTAAAAACTCCCCTCCAGAATCTAGCACACAAATCATTCGTCCATTGTCTTTCCCATTTATTTTCTACCTTTCCATGCTATGTTTTATACGTTCTGAGAGAGGAAAAGGAATTTTTTTCGGTGTGTAATGACAGCGACATGCTAACCCAACAACAGTTTTATCATTGGCAGACCACCATGAGCCTCGCTAGGTGGAAGGTATCTGTTGACATGTAAGATGAACTGGAGAAACCAGTCAATCATTGTGTAATTCATAATAATAATTTCAAAGCATATTAACGAATGAAACCAATTGCATTGAGGCAGCTACTTGAAAGCTTTCAGGGGTTATTATCATCGTCTTTTTTTTTTGTTTGATTTTTTTGCAAATTTAAAAAAAGATACTACTTCTAATACACTTCACCAACCTTTGTAGAGTTTTAACGGGTGATAGATTATTCTGATCTTCCTTTCGCCAAGTATCCAAAAGGGTACTGAGTTCAGAGGTGCTACAAATAGACAATTTACCTCAACGTGCAGAGTTTCGAAGATCGAAAAGCCCGCCATTTTGATCCGAAAGATATGATACAAGATTACATGGTCTTCCTCTTCGAAAGTGATATCACTTTTCTCGGCATAATTACTCTGATATTACTGCGAGTGATTTTGTTGACTGTGTCAAGATCAGATGTAATTCCTGTGTGTAAACTATATTTACGACGAAGTTTAGTCACATGGCGAGTTCCAACACAACACGCGCTAAGTCCCAGGCTATTATCAAATTTCGCGTGGAATGCCTAGTTGTTATTGACCTCTAACCAGTCTTTTTTATCTTGCAACTCGGTCGGCTGTGATCTTATTTGGAATGGTTCACCTTTAACGACCAAAAATAATTTTGCCCCACTTAACTTTTGATTATAGTTTGATAAATTTTTGAAGTGCTTAAGAGGAAATTAGAGTACCACAACTGAAGTTCAGAAAGGTACACACAAGTTACTTAAACAGTTACAAGTTCTTTTATGAGTTTACGTTTTCTTCTTTGAAGGCTCATCACCAGATGATTACTTGGACAAGTTGAGGCAGTTTTTCTGTGTAGGGTATGGAGTAGCATGGGGATCTGGTTTTCATACAATGTTTACCCCAATTGTCGTTTCTGAATTTTACAGTAAATGTCTTACTTTTTTGGTCCATCACTTTCTGTCATTTGTCCTGACTTTCTCTGATACTTGTCTTCTGAATTTTTCAAACGGTTCATTAACAGAACAAACCTGCAAAAATTTTCCCCGGCATCTGAACCTTGGAATATATTGACCGATCAGCTTGACAGGTATGAAACCATCGTTTGGATTCTGCTATATTTACTCCCCTGGTCTGGGAACCAAATGATCTTTACGTAAGGATATTAAAACGGTTTTCAAATGAGGTCCGCCAAAACAAAGCAAAGTACTCATTACCAGCCACAAAATCAACAAATAGCTAATCACACAAGTAAACAGACAATCAGGCAATCGAGCAATCAGAATTATGGACAATTCCATACCGTTAAACGTGGAAGTCGTTATTGGTATTTTACTTGGTTCTCGGGGCAAGTTTTGTTTGCCAATCGCACTGCAAAGCAATGCAAAACCAAACAAATAATTCCAATCAATTTTTTGGTTTCTCCACTGTTTTCCTTTCTGCTGGTAATAGGTTGGATCAACAGCTAAAGAACCTTGAGGGCGGCCGGCCAACCCCGATGGTCTCCTGACAGCAGAATGTATATTGCCTACCTCTGCGATTTGCAAGAGAAGCGTCGAGAAGACTTGCAATTATCCATGCATGTCAAGTGCTAAGAACGGTCGTTTCTCTTACAACTAATGAAGAAATATGCAGGTAATTCATTGATATGTTTGAGTGCTAACAGTCGTCGATAAGACGCCCGATTAGAGCTAACCAACATATCGTAATGAAATGATTGTAGTGTAGGCTTTCTACGGTATCATTTTGACTCATGTCGTGTTAATCATTCTTTAGATGGACAAGCCATTGCAAAACGGTTTTGTGCGCAAATCACGAAGGCAACGGGAGCCATTAAACGGCTGTTCAAGGAGTACACAGGACAAAACGTTGACATGGTGGGTTGTAAATACCCCTCCATAATTGCGGTTGAAGACGCGTTAAGCATCGACAGTCCACTGTGGAGTGTACTAAACGATGATATCCAACCGCAGTCTGCTGTTCCCTATTGTTCAAAGAGGCAACTCATTGATTCGGTTCACACACGCAAAAGATGCTCAGAGGAAATAGCCAGCACCAAAGAAGAAATGGCTCGGATGTTCAGTCATTTCGAGGGAAAGTTGAAGGTATTGGACACCTGGATGTACTTCCTTCTCGCGTTGCTCTTCGCTAGATATTCGTCTTTTTACTTATGTCTTTTCTTGTTCTCTTTCGCGTTCCTTTCACCGTATTCTGCATATTTTGGTGTCCTCTCTAACTTTTTTGGGCGTTTTTCTCGACTTGCTTTACGTAATTACTTCTTGTTTTTTTTGGTCTCTCAGTCTCTTTCTTTTCATCCTGTTTTCACGCAAAACCCTCTCTCCACAAACTTGAATCATAACAATTTCCTCTCGTTGACAAAGCTTTAGCTCTGCCGGTATTGTTGCTTTGCGAGTTGATCAGAAAATGTAAAATACTGAGAATTACTGTTCAACTTCAACCTCACCAGTTTGATTTGGCGCTCAAAACGCGGGTTGCAAATTATTTGCTTACGCGGCTTCACAGCTATCAGCCCACGTGAAGCCCTCGTGCAATGCCTAGTTGTGTGCCCGCGGTACGCTACACTGAAGCTCGACACTCGGGTATGCGCACTTCATTGTCATCTGCCGGTGTTTCCTTGCGCACACCTCGATGAGCGAGGTCTATTACGAAGTTCTATCCACAAACATTACGCTATTGACATTGTTAATCCTCACAGTATGCAGGACGCGTGTCATATGAACTTCGTAAGAGACTTCACTCACCATGGAGTCTCTGTGGCTCAGTAGTAGAGCATCGGAGAGCAGAATCCGAAGGTCTGAAGTTCGATTCCTCATGGGGACTCAGAAGTTTTCTTTGTCCCACGCTCGTCACAAGACTAAAATCATCTTCATTTCTTAACCGAGCTCAAAACTTACCATCTCTCTTATTTCTCGCTAACTGCTTGTTTATGAAATTGCAACTCTTCGTAAGCGCTTATATGAATGCATTATGAATTCACTCAAAAAATTGTTGTAAATTAATCACACATACATATGCATGCATAGGGAGCCCTGAACGAAAAAAATCTACATATATATGTATATAATTTATTCGCCCGTCGGGAGGTCCGTATTGGGAAAAACTGTGCCCTCTGTCTTGAGTACTCAAGAAAGAGGGCACAGTTTTTTTCCAATACGGACCGACCCCAGGCTGGTGAATAACATTTTACATTTTACTACATAAATGAGCCCTCACATACATTCATAAAGTAGTCTGGAACATACCAGAAGCTTACAAAAGAACTATTTTAGTAGTATTACTTAATAACTGTGTCATCAACTGCGTCACTTGATGTCAACATGAATAAGCAGTCTGGGGATTTCTAGAAGCTTATATTTACAACAACAATTACTCATAACAATAGATTCTTGCCGAACGAAGTCGAAAGTCGCTAAATATAAGTATTCCTTTCGCGATGACAAAAACCGAAAAAAGGAAGAAGGTGCCGTTAACTTTGCACAAAGATGCATTTCTGAATCAAAAAGTCATTCAAAAATTGTTTTCATGAGAAGTGGGATTGGTTAGCCTTTCACTCCCAGTGGTGATCACTATGAATCTTCTTCCTATGATATCCATACATTATTCAGCAGACAGGTAATGAGAATATTCAAACTTATCAGGTAAAGGTTGTCATCTTGATCTAACATCAAATTCTTGTATCCAATTAAAAAGGAAATGTGTAGCTCAAAGAGGGGAGAATTAACAGTCAGATCTTGAAAGTTAAAGGTTTAACCTCCCCCCAGTCCACCCCTGTTTGCCTATTATCTTTCCTGAGAGTAAGCCAGCCAACATATTACATCCGCTCGCTCACGCGATTCCCTTCTTGAAAAAAAAATAGAAACGAAGGAAGCATTTTTGTCTTAAAAGACAGTACATCATAAGAAAATAGAAACAAAGAAAAAAAAGAGAAAATAAAATAAGAAACATTTTGAAATTCTACGGTGTCCCTTTTTGTCGCCAAGAGATGGAAACAAACAGTGCCTTAGTATACATATTTATATAGGAGACTATATATGTTGGACATTTTTCTTCTCGGCACCTGTCGGTGGAGTGAACTAATTATGTATTTTGGTTCATTTGCATTGTGGGCGTTAAAATTTAAATTTTTTGTCGGCCGCCTGATCGCAAATAAACATTTGCCAATTACTGATAACTGTCAAAAACTGAAACAAAGACGTTATAGAAAAAAGCAAGACGAATCAATACACACTTGGAAAACAAAAGGAGACCAAACTAAAACGAAAAACAAAAACAAAAAACAAACGAAGAAAGACAAAGCGAAAGGAAATTAGAAACTGTTGGAAATGGGAAAATTGTTTGACAGCTGACGGTTGAAACAGTCTAATGCCGTCACTAAACTTTATTTGTCACCAGATGGCTTCAAGCTTCAAGGATCTCTCACTTGATTGGCTGATTCAAAACAATGATGATGTCATGATTCTAATCTTTGATCAACAAAGAGAATATTATGCTAATTTGCCGATCAGCAACGGCATTCGAAAACATTAAAGCTAAATGAGAATTTACCCCTCTATAGATTATCGTTGTCTATTTTATCAGTATGGTTATTAGTATTTTTATTATTTACATGTATCATCATCGTCATTATTGCAATTGTCATTGTTATTCTCGCCTTTTCTATCCCAACAGAGCAGTGTTTACCTATCTCACGACTATCTATCTTTTACGGAGTGTTTCTCCTCAGAATTATTCGCGTCAAAGGTGTTTGCTCATTTAAAACGCCTTGAACGTTTTATTCTTAACAGTGTTATAAAAAATTTCATAATAACCATAAGATGCCTCAGTTGCTCTCGATCTAAATTTTCTAACGTGTTGGATTGATTATCATGACGGAACCAAGTGATAATAAATTTCTAATTATAGGAACCCGTTTGTTCAGAAGTTAATTGCATTCTCCAGATGGTTGCAAGCTTATAATTTTCTTGCCCTCTTACTTGCTCTGTTCGAGGTGAGGTCATCAACATTTAAAGAGAATGATTATTGGATTCTGAAATACATCTTTATGCAAAGTTAACGGCACCGTCTTCCTTTTTTTTTTTGTTTTTTGCTATCACGGAAGGAATATTTATATTAAGCGACTTTCGACTTTGTTCGGCAGGAATCTATTCATTCTCAGAGAAACATCTTAGAGAAAGGTAATTTTTTCTAGGCTATTTTTGTACCGTGTGGAACATTGAAAACATGGTAATTCTAAATATTATATAATTCAGTTGTTACCTGCTGACGATGTGCCGTGTATAATTGATCATCGCCGATGATCATCATCCCTATTATTTCGACTCGGTTGTTATATAGTTATTTTAAAGCTGATGGTTTTTAGTACCGTACGAGTACTGATTCTAATTCTGATCACGGGGCGACTTCGACAGACATAAGATTATTGTTGTGTTAACACCATTATCGCAGTATATTACGCATTTTTGGGCCAATATTTTTTAGAGTACTTTGCTTCTGTATGTT